AAAAGTGTGTTTTCCTCAGGTAGTTGCCCAAGGGAGATTGGGGACAGATGCTTAGAAAAGATTTGGAGATTTGGATGCAAAAAAGATTTGGAAACATAATCTTCACCCCTCTTGATAAGGGACATAAGGAGAACAACATTTGGATATCTGAAGCTTCACATGATAAATGCTAGTGTTTTTAAGAACAAAGAAAATTCTCAAATTCTTAGAACTATATTGGTGCCACACTATTCTGGCCTGAAGACCCTTGAAACCCAAATGTCAATATCACACCCTTACTAATGCGAGTGGGGTGTGAAGAATGGCATATAGGGAGAACGGAGATCAAAGGGTAACAAACAAAATTTATGGATTCCTATATATCACCCATGTAGTAGGATAGAGATGAGGTGGAAGTCAATAGTTGGAGATAAGTCCAGAATGGAAAAAGGAGAAGAGGTAGTGATAAAAGTAACACCCGAGCTTCCATACACATTATTGTTTGAAGGAGTAGGGAAATAATTGCTTAGGAACTTAAATATGGGTAAAATGGCAAAACAATGACCAACTTAATCTGAAAATGTGGAAAACAGAGAATGGTTGTTCTCTGATTTGGAGAGAATTACCAGCTTTATAATCTCTGTATACTCATGTAGTTCCTCGTCCATTGATAAACATTTAGAGCCAATTCTGTCAGGAACTTGTCTGGATGATAAATTTCCAGATATTACTAAGGTAAGATCACTGATGTCAACATACTCACAGCGTGGGGAGAATGAATAGATGTAAGAGGAGTCTGTGTATGTAATAAAGGAGCACAAAGCTTGGTAATTGTACATTGACAGAAACTTAGAAGTAATACTTGAATTTCATTTTTTCAGTCTGAAACCACAGTTATTTCTATAAAATAGCAGACACTTGTTTTTACTTTATAGGCCAGAAAAGCATGACCCATGGAAAACGATATGGTCCTGAGAGCTCTCTGAAGCATTGTGAATGTCACAATAGACACTGATATTATTACACAAATAGATTATTTTGCCACTAGCTAGTTTTTAAAAAGTCTTCAATGTGAGATCAATGAGAAATGATTACCATTAATTTTCTCTACCTGAAAATACTATTTTATGGACTATATTTTATAGTCTAGTGTTCAGTGTTTTTCAAGTCTTTTTTCCTTTTTAAACTATTCTTTACTACAATGAGAAAGCAGCAAATGAACCTCCTAAACTTGTTCACATCTAATCAATGTTTATTGAATGGTACTATGAGTTATGCATGGAGGTATACCACAAAGGTATATGACAACAGGAATAGAAAACAGACGAACAGTATGGTTAACAGTTGAGAATATAGAAGAGGCCATAGATATTTTTAGAAATGGATCAGATCTGGACATTGAGATATAAATAGAAATACATTTGGGGGATGTAGAGAGTGGACGAACATTTCAAGTTGAGCATGTGCAAAGACAGAGATAAGATATGAACATCAATGTTTCAGAGATAACAAAAAGTTAAGTTCTCAATAAAACACTCTGTATTTTGAGTTCTGTGTATCTTTTACACTAAATCTTGCCATTTCTTACATCATACATTATGCTTATTTTTTATTCCAGTTCCTGTGCAGTCTACGCTATTTAGGTTACATTTCATTCTTCTCTTCCGTAGTAAATGTTTTCATATACATCTCCTACACTCAACTACTCAACTATAGACTCCTTGGGATATGTCCACATCTTATTCAGTTTTATATCCCAGCACCTAACACAATTCTTGCCATAATCCATGGTTTCCTCTTCCTTTCTTTTTTCTTCCTTCTTTTCCTTCTTCCTTCTTTCCTTTCTTCATCTATCCATTAACAAAGTTACTGGACTCATTCTTTTTGTCATTGGTTAGCGCTTGGTTCACAGCACTGAACAAAAGATAGTAACCTAAGAAATAAAACACAGGAGTTTGGGAAAGTAGCTTGAGAACAGATAATGAAAGGCTGGCATTTCACTTTAAAGAAAAAACTTTAAAATTTCATCAAAGGTTCATATGGAGAAATATTATATTTCTGATATAGAAACATATATTTAGTAGAACTGAATAGTAAAGAGGGCAGAGATTGGCAACAAGTATTGTTGAAGAGGAAATTAACTTAAAAATTGAAGAGAAAATACTCCTGATTATAGAGGACCTGCAGAATGATGTAACAAGTTGAGGCAATGTTAATTACAGAAGTGGATCTTGTGGGAAACAAAATCTAAATGTGAAGAGTCTGTGTAGATCTGGTATGAACTGAGTTAGGTAATAAAAAGAAGCCAATTATATAGTTTTGAAACAAAAAAGTAAAAGGGACTGCCATGCCAAGGTGAACAATGAAGAGCCAATAAGATTGTGAGAGTAAAGAGAGATGACATGGTAGTTGGGATATTAGCTAAGGATAGTTGGAAAAACTGAGTAACACATATGAAATAGGTAAGAATAAACTTGATTTTATGAATAGTATCTGAAAATATTTTCTTAAGAGCTGGTACCAGACTTCTTTATAGAAATAATTGCTGGGGTTTTGTTTGTTTGTTTGTTTTTTAGGAAAAGCTACATTGAATATAGAATGTGAGAATTCTTTAAGCAAGGCTCACCAGGAGCAAAACAGAGGTCTCTGATGTTTCTCATGAAAGTAAATGAGAAGGCTTCCTCTAACATGGTAACTGAGCTTCCTTTTATGAACTCTTAAAAATACTGATAAAATGCAGCCATCACCATATCAACCACATTATCACCTCAAAAACAAAACAACAAAATAGGTAATTCTCAGTGCCAGACACAAATTGAAAAACTAAAGAGCAGAAAGCAGGAACTAACACCCTAGCAGCTTTCCAACATTTCATACTTGGCTACATGCCTCAGGAGCAAGTAGGTTGGATTTTTTGTTGTTGCTATTTTTGGGGTTTTTTTGTTGTTACTTTGGGTTTTTTTGTTATTTAATCAATTTTACTTGATTAAAGAGATCAAAATAGTAGAAATCATAACATAAGAACAGGCAGATTTCATAAAGATCAAATACATTAGTTTTGAAAACAATAGTTATTGAAACTGTAATGCATGGGTCTAAGATCCTATAGGTTAATGAATATTAGTGGTTAAAATGTGCTGCTACTCAATTCTATTTAAAATAATGAACTTCCTTATCATTAGCAATTCATCCTCTTGAACTCAAAAATTCTCTTTCAACAAAATGCATCACCCCTTCCTTATTTCTGCAAGTCCTTTCATTTCTTCTTCTGTTCTAAGTTCCAGAAAGGGAAGATTTACTCAGGTCCCTTAAGAGATCCTTAGTATTCTCAGATTACAAACATACTTCTGGGAATCCAATGCTCAGATTGCAGAAAACTAAATCTTTCTAATGGGACCCATTTTATAGCTTTTTCCATGTCCTTGCAGGTGCTGCTGTCTCCCACTTATTAAGACTTATCTAGATCACTAGAACTCTGGGTAGTTTGGCCATTGCCTGCCAATGTTGAAGCTTTCAAAAGCTTTTGATCCGTGGAAATAAAACAAGAATACTGCTCTATTTATAGGAGATCTGCTCTACAGTCTTACAGTCTTTCTTTCATTTTCAGTCCTCACCTCTCCAAATCAAGGTGTATCACTGACGTTGTGCCTTAACTTGTTGTGATCTCAGATGGAAGAGTCAGAAGTCAGACAGTAGTGATTTTCTCAAGTCCCTCTGTATTATATTTAGTAGAAACTCCTGTTTTTCTGGCATGTATCAAGACTAAAACTGTTTTAACAGTAGACAGAAACTCAAAAGTCCTTATCTAGTATAAGTACATTTACATATAAGTTTTCATCCATGACTTAAGGATATCACAGTTATTAATCCAGTAAATTAGCTAAAAGGCTGATGATGTCTGCTTTGACACTTATCCCAAAGAAAGTTTTAAAAATTGATAAAAATCCTCATTAGGATTTGTTGGCAAATTAAAACTCTTTATTTGGAAAGTGATAAATGGAAGAGGACAGAGCTGAAAGCAAATGTGTAAGATCCAACAAAAGCCACTACGATTGAATAGCTGTGAAGTAGAGGATGCAGGAATCAAGACAAAATATCTGCTTAATCAAATTAATGGCAGCTTGTTACTCCTGGCTGGTATCACATGACAATTGGATAGCATATCAGAGTAAATAAACTCTTTCTTCAACAAACAAACAAAAAAACCCCACAAAATTTAACTTAAACCAATAGTTAAGAAACAGTTTCCAAACATAGGCCAATTTTTGATAGTTTAAAATTGGTTCCAATTACTGCAAAGGTCAAGGCAACAAGCAGCTACATGCCCAGTGCTATGGCCGTAATGTGTCCCCTCAAAATTCGTATTTGAGATCCTAACCCCAAAAGTAAAAGAATTAACAGGTGGGGGCTTCGTGTGAGATGAATGGGATTAACCTTTTAAAAATAGGCCTGGGAGCGCTTCTACCCTCTCCACCAGTGAGGACAGCTACAAAGAGCAGCTTCCGTTTTCTGAGCAGTACGAGCAATTGCTGAGGCTTCTGAAACAGAAAAAGAGAGGAAGCTTTCCGCCCCCATAGCCTCTGCAGCCGAGCACAGCAGCCAACCACCACCCCCAACCTCGATCCGTTCTGATGGGGGCGGAGCCTGCAGAAAGCAGCTCGCGGCCGGAAGGGCCCTGAGGAGGGGCTGGGCGGGGCGACGCACAAGGCCCCGGGGAGAGACTTGGGGCTGCCCAAAATGTGCCGGACGCGGATGTCAAATACGTACCAAATTTTCCTTCAGTCCCCATGTCCACAACATTGTACTCACGGAATTCCCACTGTCGTGACTCTCTTTCCGAGTCCTCTTTCTTTCCGATTGTTCAAATGGAGAGAAAAACTGAAACTCCCAAGTTCAGGCAGTAACTAGGCAACAGCTCAGGCGATCAGCCTCTGATGTGGGGGTCCTTTGCTCGCGCCTAAATTCAAAGGAATAAATAGTTCCGGAGCGAGTGTTGGGATTGGGGCTAGTGCTGTAGTGGGTATGGGAGAGTTCTCGTAGTGTCCGCTAAGGTGTGGTTAGTCCCTCTTGGCCTTTGTGACCCGGAGGGGCTTTGGGGGCGCCGCAGTCACGGCGATCTGAAGCAGTGCTGTGGCAGGTGGGTTCGTGCGGCCGGCTGGTCCCGGCCTGGTCTTCTGGCGGAAAATGGGATGAGAAGAGGGTGAGCAGCAGGGAAAGACTTCAGGCGATAATTAGGGACAAAGATAGGATGCTGTCCAGCATTGGAGTGGGTCAAGAAAGTGTGGAACGAAAGATTTGGGGGAGCGAGGGAACAGTGGACAAAAGCAAGAGGCTGAAGAATAGGAGATTGGATTTATGTTAATATTTGCTAGCTCTCCCAGGCGTCAGAGTCAGGCACTGTTACGGGATACAGCGATGGACATAGGCGAAGATACTACAGAAACTTATATTATAATTTATGAGTTTGATAGACAAATGTGTGCTATTTAGTGGCAGTTTTGCATTCCATAAAAGAAAAAGACGGTGGAGCTAGAGGATGGGTAGAGGTGCTCTTTTACTAGGGAGGTCAGGAAGGAGCTCAGTAAAATGGCATTTGTGCAAAAACAGAAGTGCGGTGAAAGAGGTAGTGTGAGCCATGCCAGTAACACGTTGTAGTGAAGAATGGGATGTGAAATAATCCTAGTATTTTTAGATAGATAAAGGTGGATTGCAAACCTGGAAAAGTAGGTATAATTATTAATAAAGAGATCTGACTTCCAGATTGAATGATTTAAATTCCAAGTAGTGGGTAGCTCTTGCGTATTTTGAAGTAGAGGAAGATATCTTCAAGTCAGAGAAGGTAGTTTGCCAAATGGCTGTTTTATTTCTGCTGACCTGTTATTACTGTTATTTAGTCTCATGTTCATTGTGGTTCCAGGCTTATCATTCCACTTACATGGTGTTATTTCTGTTTTATACAGACTTGAATTGTTTTTTCCATACCTAACGGAAATTTACTGGCCCAAGACAGTATCAAAAATGCATATTAAGTCAATCATTCTTGAGGGATTCAAGTCCTATGCTCAAAGAACTGAAGTCAATGGTTTTGATCCCCTCTTCAATGCTATCACTGGGTTGAATGGTAGTGGAAAATCCAACATACTGGACTCTATCTGCTTTTTGCTAGGCATCTCCAACTTGTCTCAGGTAAAGTGTAAACTTCCTGATTTCTGTGATTAAATTTGCCTATTGCCATTATTTTTTTGTTTGTTTGCATCTTTGTACTTTATGTGAATTAACTTATACCTCAATGTAACCTTTTAAGGAAAGTATTATTACTTCTATTAGATGAGAAAATAGAAACTTACAGATGTGGCCTAAGGTTCATCCTCAAAGGTGTTTGGGAATAGTACACAAACTCAGGTGTTGTGACTTTAAGGTAGTCTCATTCCAGAATCTGCACCCTCTCTGCTTTTGTTATATTGCCTTTGTCAGGACATATTAATGGATGACTAATGAAATTCTTAGGCCCTGGGTCTTCTTCCCTTAAATCTTGCAAACTAACTTTTATTAGAAAAAATTTCAATTTAGAGTTGAAAGAGTTCTGTAGAGAAAGATTGCTGTCCTTGACAGTGGGTGCTGCAGGCTGTCCTTGTCAAATTAACAAATACTACATGGGTGGATTTTGCAACACAAGAAACCCATTTTTAGTGCTACTCTGTACAATATGAGTTTTGTAGCTGACAGTTTCTTTCACTTTAGGTTCGAGCTTCTAATTTACAAGATTTAGTTTACAAAAATGGGCAGGCTGGAATTACTAAAGCCTCAGTGTCAATCACCTTTGATAATTCTGACAAAAAGCAAAGTCCTTTAGGATTTGAAGCTCACGATGAAATCACAGTAACAAGGCAGGTGAGTGGCTATTAAATATTTTGATACCCTATGAAATTTCATGTCTAATGTATTATTTGGCAGTATGGCTTTGCAAAAGTGCCAGGGACAATGCTCATGAACAAATCAATGCATCACATGCTGACTGGAGTCCTTAAGAATATCTTCCTTATAGTCTTGCACTTCACAGTAATATTTCAGTTAATGATGAACTGCATATATGACAGTTACCCAAAATTGTATACCATCTAGTGATATTATAGCTGTTTGAGATTCTGTAAGTACACTGATGCTTTCACAGTAATAAAATTGTCTAGTGGTGCATTTCTCAGAACATGAACCCCATTCTTAAGTGATTGATAACGCTATTAAGATTTTGATTGTGCAACTTCCACTATAAACTAAGGATTAAAAGAGATCTGTAAAGTTTTCTGTCTAATAGATGCACTGAACCATGCTTGAATCTTAAACTATACTCAACAATCATCCATGGCTGTGTTGAATATTCAAGTTACCTGATATCTTGCTGTCTTTTGAAAAAACCCATTCTGATACTGGACAAATCTTATTAAAAAGCTACTATTAAGAAATTCGGCCAAAGTCTACCATCTTAAAGTTTTGCACATTAATCCTGTCCTGGTTATCTTAAGAGCATCAAGACCAGATCTAGTTCAATATTTAAATGATCTGGAAGTCTAAAAGTTTTGTAAGTGAAATCTCACCAGTTCTGTCGTGCAGTACCTGTTTCTAATTCTTTCAGTTTCCTGATCATACCAAGTATGCACCAGTCTCCTCCTCCACATACCCATTTATCTGTTTATCTTTTGCTAATGTATTGCGCATTGAATTGAGCATGCAAGAATTGATCTAAGAAGAGAATTGGGAAGAGTTAACATTTCTTTCATTTTAGATCCTCTACTTGTCTTTCCCAATTTGACATTGTAGTGTTCATATGTTATAAATCCATAACAGACTTATTTGATACTACTCTAAATTTGTTGTGCATATTATTATTTAGCCATGTAATTGCCATGTCTGTCTGTATGCAGGTTATTGAAATCAATAAGGACTGTACATTTGTCCCTTAAATTTTTTTTCTTATACTGAGAAGATGTTTTCAGCTTATCAGTTGTTTTTTCAAGTTCAGTTTATTCCATTATTTATGTCATAGATATTTTCTATTTTAATAAAAGCCTCTGGTTAAAAAAAGTATTGCCTAGATTGGGATGGAATCCTGTTCTTTGCTATTAGGCAACCAACAGATAATCACCCTTTAAGATTGTCCATAAGTTATTGCTAATAGACGTTTTCATAGGTTATAAGACTGTGTCTTTACCAGTATTTTTCCATAAAGTCTTTGTTTATTGTGAACATTCTAGATTTGTTGTTGCATTATAGTAATGTATTAACTATCAGCCTAATAATGTGTCAAGGAAAGAAATAATATAGCCTTTATTCAATATTTATTAATTGCTTGATATGTACTGTAGATTCATGAATGCACCAAGGTATACACACAGAAAGAAGTGTTAGAAACATCTTGTCTGTAGGGGCCTCAAAATCTGGTGGATGAGGCAGTCATACCCATTAAATAACAATTGAAGTGCTATATATAGAGTATGAACAAATCAGTCAAATCATTATCTGGCATGCCTTCTTTGTCAATGCATGCTGAAGTTCCCTTACTCTTCTTCTTTTAAGTGGTCAAGTCATGTCTTTATCAATTCCTTTTCAAATCTTGTCAATAATTGATACCAAACTACATGTCTTTAGCTTTTGGTGTCTGACTTCCATTCTCATGGAAAAGTAGAGGAAGACAGGTTAACCTCTTAGCATGAAAAAATTGCAGAGGTAAGGAAATTACATTTTATACATACTTGGAAACAAAGCTAGGAGTGATCTTAGAGACCTGGTCCAGTGTAGGGAAAGTTAGAAGACTTAGGCATGATTATATAACTAGTTAGCAACAGAACTTGGGTTGTCCTGACTCAAATTAGTATTATTTTTGACCATGACATACTGCCACTGTTTACTCAGGATTTTTTTTTTTTAACTCTAATTGGACAGAAAAAATAAAACAAGATAGTAGATTTTGTAATTTACTATCAGTTGTGCATGTATGTTTATGTTTTTAAGTGCTTCCTTTTTAGGTGGTTATTGGTGGCAGAAATAAATATTTAATCAATGGAGTCAATGCAAACAACACCAGAGTACAGGATCTCTTCTGTTCTGTTGGCCTGAATGTTAACAACCCTCACTTTCTCATCATGCAGGTATTTTGTTTATGGTCTTTATAAGTCTTTCAGAATAGTTTTAAATCTTTTATTTTTAAGTTATAATAGAAGTATCTTCTTTTTTGGATTTTCCTCTTTTTAAATTTTTATTTATTATGCTATATTTATACACCTTTTAAGAAATGTGGTTTAGTTAGTTGTATTCATGTGTTCTACCATATTATGCATATTTAAAATTTCAAAGACATCAAAAAGTAATTGGGACAATACACATTAAGTATACAAAAGTTGCCATATGTATTAATAATACTTTGTCACTGTGGCAAAATACCTTGCAAAAGCAACTTCAAGGAGGAAAGGTTTATTTTGGCTCACAGTTTCAGAGATTTTAGTTCGTGGTTGGCTTCATTGCTGTGGACCCTGAGGCAAGGGTGAAACATCATACTGAAACAGCAGGGTACAAGAAAGCTGCTCACTTTGTGGTGTCTAGAAAGTTGAGAAAGACAGTGAGAGGAAGAGGGGAAGAGGCGGAGGACAAAAAAAATCCTTAAAAGGCATGTTCCCAAACAGCTCACATCCTCTAATCAGACCCCACCTTTCACAGTTGCCTCTACCTATGAATAGTCCATTCAGTTATGAACTCCTCTGTGGATTAATCATTCAGTTCATTAGGTTATTGCCCTTATGGTCCAATCACTTCCAAAAGCACCACTTGTGAACATTGCTTTCTACATGTGAGCTCTTTTGGGAATATACTTTACATCTAAATCATAGTATTATAATGTTAAATTATTAGATTAAACCATTTTAATATTTCAAGTATTAAAATCTGAATAGCTTTATTTAGAGGAATGCAAATGAAAAATAAAGGCTGATATATCTTATACTTGCATTATTTCACTTGACTCATCCAGTTATCTTTTGAAAGAGTCACTGCAAGGTCAGAGGCCAAATCTTGAAGGGACCTTGTATTTGTCCATTTTGTGTTGCTATAAGAGAATACCACAGACAGGGTAATTTATAAACAGTATAATTTTTTTGTTTCTTGGTTCTGGAGGTTGGGAAGTCCAAGATAAAAGAGCATGACACTAGCATCTGGTGAGGGCTGGGTCATCCAATGATAGAAGGGCAAGAGACATAAGAGAGCAAGGAGGGCCGAACTGGCTTCTAACACAGGCCCCAATCACTAAATAGCTAACATATTCCCAATTCATCTCTTCATGGGAGTGGTGCTTTCATGATCTTACACTCCTTGTAGGTCCTGCCTTCCGAAACTGTTGCATTAGGGATTGGGTTTCTGACACTAATTTTGAGGGCCACATTCAAACTTAGCTGACCAAATAAATACATATTTAATATATCCTAGCTTCAAAGCTGAATATTTACTTTCAAATACATCTGCTTCCTAGCCAGTATGATTCTCTGTGGCCTGGTTGTATAGGTTTGTGTTTTTGTTTTGATAATGAATGAATTTGATGATTTTCTGGCATTGAAATAAAATGTTCTATTTGAGGCCTAGATGTATGTCATCTGTTTTGTGAAATTATCTCAGAAAGCTATCAAAAAATCAAATGTATACTAATTATAATAAAATTTACATTCGCATTTCTTCATTTTAGAGAGGGTACTTTTACATGTTTAATATTAACTATCTCAAAAGTATAGTATGAGTTAATTTTGTTTCATCTAGTAAATAATCTCATTTGTATCATTTAATAACTTTGTGTCACTAATAAGTAAGCTACAACAGCTTCCATGAACATAAAGGATGAATACCTTTGGGCTATATTTTCTATAATTTGTTATCTTTACAGAAAGTTTGCTTTTTTATTTTCAGGGTCGAATTACAAAAGTATTAAATATGAAGCCTCCAGAGGTAAGAATGCTATTTACAGGCAGTAAAAATAATGATTATAGATTCTCTTTTAATCTTTGAAGCCATCAGTTTTTTAAAATAGTTTCTTTCATTAAAATCCTTGAAAACATTAAGAGCAAAGAAAATAGAAAATAGCTTAATATTTAACACTGTCCAGTGTAAAAAAGAGATTTTGACTGTATAAAGCAGTCTTGCTCAACTTGTGCTCCATTATCATGATTAATCCAACAGAAAAATCTGACAAAGAGATTTATGTGAAATTGGTTTGTTTCATACAATAGTTTATGGGGTCATTAGGACTTAAGTTTCTCTTGGAACTACCTTGAAAGTAGTTAGTATGAAGAAATGAATATTTTTTCACATGAACAAAGGCTCTTTAGATGTACCTATTGAGAAGAGCTAAAAATACTGATAGATAGTACTACTCTTTTTGAATGAGGTCATGTTTATATTCTTTGGTTAACATCTTAGAAATTTCTCATTTGAAACGTGGCAAATACATAGACATCATGTGGGTTCCAGAAAATAAATAATCGTCTTGAGATAGGTGAGTAGAAGCTTCTCAGAAAAGAGGGCTGACAAAACTGCTCATCTGATACAAAATTATTATTGATTAATATTTCACATTTTCACTTGAATTACTTTAATTCTTAGCAGTGATATTATCATTACTGTAGTGAAGAGACTGAGGCATAGAGAAAATGAAGTTACTTGCCCAAGTTGGCAGGCTAACATTATGCCATGCTTCAGTCTTATTGGCATAAAATGACTAAAATTTACCTTGAAAGAATTTTAAGTAGAAAGTTCCAAAGTAAAAGCTGAATGGGGCAGCCTTTTCTTTACTCTTTTTAGATTTGGATTTGAAGGAAAATGGAAGGAATCATTGGCTTTAATTTTAGAAGAGATATATTTTGGAGACCACGTAGCAAAATGCTTGATTTTAGATTAGAAGTATTGCCAGAAATGTTTCTTGAATGTATGGGATATGGTTAACATGTGGATTTTTTTATTAGCATATAATAGTTTTACAGGAAGACACATTGTGACTTATGTGCTTACAATATATATTAATTAGCTTACATATGTGCTTACAATATGTATTAATTAGATTCACCCTCTACATCGTTCTCCCTTGTCACATTTCTACCCATTCTTAGAACACTTTCAAAAGTTTCATTATTCCATTTTCATGACAACAAATATATCCACTATATTCACCCTCTTTCACCCTTTTCTTATGTCCTCCCACTGGTACCCACTCCTGGAAAGGAGCTGTTTTATCTTCCTGTTCTTCATTTCCTTTTTACAGTGTGTATTGATGGCCCAAGGGGGTTTTTGCCTTAGCATGTTGACATATATACATACTGCTTTAATCACATTAAACGCCCCCCATTACTTTTTCTTTCTTTATTTGCCCTGCTCCCCTATTGTCCAACAACAGCTTACAGTGCATTGCATTCTATTATCTTCAACATACGGATTTTTATCTGTTTAACTTTTATGGTGTTTGGGAGGCTATTTGGGAAGCTTTAAGTGAGGTCAATATAGCAGTGATACTTATTCCATTGAGACACATTGTCTTAGATTCTTAAGACAATATAATTGTCATTCCAGATTTTATCCATGATAGAAGAAGCAGCTGGAACCAGGATGTACGAATACAAAAAAATAGCAGCCCAGAAAACTATAGAAAAAAAGGAAGCTAAACTGAAAGAAATTAAGACGGTAATTAAATTAAAAAATTTTGGAGAAGAGTATAATTTTGCTTTTGGAGTTTCTGATGTAAAGAGGAAAAATTTCTTTCTCTTGGTTCAGTTTTCTAATCTTCCATGTTACTTGTCTTTTTACAGTTCTTTTTTTTTTTTTTAATATGCTTAACATACTAAAAATATTGGTTTTCCTTTATTTTCCAGATACTTGAAGAAGAGATTACTCCAACTATTCAGAAATTAAAAGAGGTATATACCATATATGTAATGACATCTAGTTAGGATGACTTTCAAAAATGGTGGTGTATAAATAAATGGTGTATAAATGGCAAATAGAGATGAAGCATATACTATTTCTTGGGGATTTTTCTCTGAGATAAAATAAGTTCTCATTGTTCTGCCATAACTCAGTCTTCTGCTTGCAGAGGATATGTATTTTTAAGTTGTGAGTTTAGAGACTAGTCTTCATAATTTCAGGAAATGATATACTGAATTTTTAAGACTGTTGAAGAGAAGCAAGTCTTATTTTCCTTGATAATTAGAATTGACTGGAACAAAATTTCTTAAAGATACTCTATTCTTAGTGATGCTCATTGATAGAGTTAGATTACTTCTAAGGTAATGGTGGCTACCCCCACACCTATTTCTGTCAGGGTACTTGTATGCTAAAAACATTGAAACAGGTTTTTTTTATCTGTAATATTTGCAGCTCCATGCATCATTAAACTTGGCAATGTTTCATTGAAAGAATGCATATATAAACACATTGTTTTAAAAGGTGTCCACTTAGGAATTTATTAAATGCTCATTCAAATTTGCTACTACTCAAAGCAGTCTTCTGAACCTATATTGTAGTGTAGACGATACTGGAAGAGCTGACAAATTTTGACCTTTAAGATACTCTCTCTTACATGCATGATTAAATACAAAACACTAGATCAGGAGGTTGAACTTAGCCTTTATACCTGATTTTGCCACATTCTGTCTAAATCTGGTTACATGGACAGGTCATTTAACCATTCTGACTTTGTTTCTTCATCTGCAAACTAGGAATTTTAGTTGTTACTTTGTCTGTTTCAATAGATCCTTATGTGAATCAACTTTAATTATATGTGAAAAAGTGCTTGTAAGAATGCTTGAAAGAATGGTAGGTAGGCATCATAGTAATACTACTACAAAATAGATTATGGTATAACACTTGTTGGTGTGTGAATTGTCTTCATAGACTCCTTATTATCACTAGTTTTTGCACCTTAGGGCCACAATTCCTTGTTAATCCCAACTGTGATAAGAAAAGCCACATAGTTTTCTTTCATTGTGGTACATTGCTTTCTAAAAAGCCATGTTATTAAAAGTTTCCAAAAATTTTAAATGACAAGGTCACTTAAGAAAAAAATCTGTTACATCATATAAAGGGAAATTTGATACGGTGCTATAGCTTGATTCTAACTTTATATAAAAGTATAAATTTTTGAGTAATTTACTTTGACTTCTTTTTCAGGAAAGATCTTCCTATTTGGAGTACCAAAAAGTAATGAGAGAAAATAGAACATTTGAGTCGTTTGTATATAGCTTATCAGTTTTTGCTGGCTGAAGATACCAAAGAACGTTCAGCTGAGGAGTTAAAAGAAATGCAGGATAAAGTTGTAAAGCTTCAAGAGGAATTGTCTGACAATGATAAAAAAATAAAGGCACTTAGTCATGAAATAGAAGAGTTGGAAAAAAGAAAAGATAAGGTCAGAACATAAAACAGATATGTAGTTTGTGGGAAAAATACAAAATAACTATTTAGAATTCACTGGGCATTGTTTTCCATACTAATTTTTTACTTTTAATGTTGGACAGTTAAATAGATCATAAAAGCTAAATGTATAGAAACTATAAAAGAAAATTAAAACCCAAACAGATTTTAAGTAATTTGAGTTATGTGTGTTTAATTATAGGAAATTGGAGGCATACTCCGATCTTTGGAAGATGCTCTTGCAGAGGCTCAGCGAGTTAATACTAAGTCTCAAAGTGCATTTGACCTCAAGAAGAAAAACCTGGCAAGTGAAGAAGGTAAACGCAAAGAGCTGGAAAAGAATATGGTTGAGGTAAGCAAATAAGAACCTTAACTTAATTTCCACCAGTACATTTATCTATTCTGTTAATGTTTAGTGAGAATCTGCTATGGACTAAATATAATTGTTTAGTCTGGAGCAGTAGAAAATAAAGTCTGCCTTGTGAGTTCAGTCAGGGAAATAAAAAAGAAAATGAGTAAGTATAAAGTATATGACACGTTATACAGTGATAATTGGTGAGGAGAAAAATAAAGTAGGGACATTAGGAGTTTAGGAGAATTAGGGTATAGTTTGGAGTTTTAAACTGTGTAGCTATTGAAGTATGGGGTTACTGTTAGCTAAAGTAAAGCATTAGGAATAACAGATTTCAGTAGGGAAAGTAAAAAGTACAGTGTGAACGTAATAGGCTTAAGGTGCCTATCGAGACACCTTGAGTCATGATATTGATTAATAGCTAAATATGTGAATATTAAATACAGGCTAAAAATACAGATGGGGGGGTCATCAGTTTATAGGTGATGCTTGAATTCATGAGACTGAATTTATCAGTGACATGTAAAAGGAGGAAAGATTGAGTGCTACAGTAATTCATCATGTAGAAGATAAGGGAAATGAGGAAGAATGAGTAAGAAGATAGAGAGGGTATGCCAATAAGTTGTCCTAGAGACCAACTCAAAAATACTTCAAGAAGTGATCATGAGATCCTCCGTAGAGTGTGTTTAGAATAAAGAAGGAACTAACTGAAGGGTAATGTAGAACATTGTTTTTGGCTTGATTTTACATGGAATAAATAGCATTATGTATATCAATGGAAAAATATAGTTGGAAAGGCAATATTTGTGGTTCAGAAAATACAAATGAGAGAGTTGTTAAAAACAAGGTTCTTCAGAGGTGAGTAGGATAGGAGCTAAGGTACAGTTAGAGGAGGGTAGCTGTCACAAGAGGTGGTAAGTAGAAGTAATCCACAGTCACAAGAGTCAAGTATTTAGTCTCACGCAGGTAAATGAATTACGGTAAGTGAGGGGAGCCCATGGAAGTGCAGGTACAGCAGGTACAGAAGGTGTTGACAGTCATACATACTCCTTCCATTTGGGCAACAGAACGTTTAGCGTAGTTGTTTTTTTCTCAAACCTGTTAGGGGGAGTCAGGGGATATCTCCTGGACTTGCAAACAATGTTTTGGTGAAAGCAGTATTTGCTGTTTTCTCATGAGCAGTGGCTCCTATGTATGATTTCAGAGATCGCATAAAGAACATAAATCTAGAGTCATTTATATCTTCTGGTAGGTCCCTAGTAAGCCTGGCCTACTGCTTTAGGCTCTTGATCCAATAGTAGCTTTTCTTTCTAGGGGTGAGATCTAATGATACAGCATACCCAGTGTACAGAATTCCACTATCTGTCAGCTTTCCAGGTATGCCATTGCCCATCCCATATTTAGGTTACACCTAGACTGCCCACAGAGAAAGCTGTAGCTCTTGGATGCACATAGCACCCTATGTTATTGTTCAGTGACCCATTTATAGGTATGAAGACATTGGCACTTGCCAATACACGTCTTCAATGGTATAGTTATATAGAGTTCATTTTTCTTCATACAGAGTTCTTCATGAAACTCCCATACAGCACCAGTCCTCTGTCCTGTTCTCATCACCACAGCTGATATACATTGTGCTCAAGGTTTTATTAATTGTGACATTTGCCACAGTGTCAGTTAAGTTAAACCAGGGCTTTTCTGGCTCCCTTCTCTGAGACATGGACCATAGACTGTCTTAGTAAACCAGGGCATAAGGTCTCTTGGTATACACTGAGGAGTTACAATTGCTGATATAGTTTACTACTGGTAGGACTAGATGGTTTGTGACAGAATGAGATCTGACGTGGCATATTGAAACTTTTCTTAAGTACCTGCAATGGCCACAACTTAGGAATTGTTTCCACTTCTCTGCTGCTACATGCTTACAGAAAAAGCATTTTAATAACCCCTAGTCCCCAGGGTCTTAGGTATTTCCTGACTGTTTGGTAGGGATTGATATGAGTTGCATAGTGATCAAGTATGTGTCTCTGTCCCTCTGTAGACATCCATTGTTCATGTGACTTTACTAGATCTATCAGCCTCAGTTGTCCAGTCCAGTAGGGAGAGCATATGATGTACAGACTTGACATGTCTGATAACATCACCCACTCAACTGCAAGGACCAGATGTGCTTGGCCTTGTTAGAGGGTTCCTAGCACTTAGGTGTTCCTTGATCCTATCCCTTACCTCTGTGGAATCCTATGGAGGGGATATACCTGGAGAGAGCATCTCCAGATTAGAGTTAGGAGACCCTATCTGGGATACTATGGCAGCCTGATCTGTAAATGACCCCTGTATTCTAAAGGGAGAAAGGAGGGCTGGGAAATCTAGAAACACTGATAACTCAAATATTGGGATTCTTGTAGATGCTAAAGAATAGTTGAGAAAATGGAGTAGGATTTTACAGGTGCATCCTAATCAGATGCTGCCTGTCTGGTCCCCACTTTCACTACCACTAAGTTCAGTATTTCTCAACATGTACTGCAGTGCCATGTTTCTCTTGTGCTGAAGTATTCATATTGACTTAGTTCAGTGACTTGCTCGCTGGCAGGCCATCTTGATGTCCTGCAGTTGTTTCAAGTTGGCTTATGAAGTCACTTCCTAAGTGAATAAGAGGGTATCCAGAAAATCCATCGTATTCCATGTCAAAAATGGCCATCCTTTGGCATGATGTTTGTTGCTCTCTGGTAGACAACTTCTTTGTTTTATAGATCCTCCATACCATACTGTTAGTAGGCATATCTCCAAAACATAGGCTCCAGGTCGCCAGAGAGGAAGCCAAAGTCTCTTCTGGGAATTACTCCCTCTCTTCTGGTAAGGTAGCCATTTATTCAGGGAGCCTGCTGGGCCCAATCTTGAATATATAATCCATTTGATAAGAATACTGAGCCTGCCTAAATTTATTGGTGAAGTTTATAAGCACCCAAGTAAGAATTGGCAGTTAAGTTCTCAGTCATACAGTGCTCCAGCTTTAAGATGCTCAGTCTGTACCAGGGTACATTAGAAACAAGGAAATACCCATTCAAAACAGGTAAATCTGGTGTCTGCCTTAAACACCTTACATGTCCAAAATCAGAGACTAGTATACCTCAGCAGCAGTTTTCTGTTGCCACAGACCCCAATCAGCATGTATGGAGGTTGAAGACACCTGTAGTTCCATCAAGCTGTCAGGCTCTAAAAAAGTGATGGTGCCAGGATTTGTTGAGTGACTTCCCAGGCCTGCTACTTAGAAACAGCCCTCTTCAAAATTAGCAACTTTAAGGAGGTCAAAAGAACACCCATGTGAGATACATGCTGTGCTGGTACCCAAAAAGTCTACCAGCTATTGGACTTCCCTTTTATTAGTATGTGTCACTAGGGTGAACAGTTTTGTTTGACTGTGTCTGGGATATTTCCTTGACTTCTTTTCCAGGTGGCTTTGGCATTTAGCTCGTTTTGGTCCACTTAGTCTCCATGCCCTAAAGACCTTTTTGACCAGCCATACTAGGTGGGTGCATTGTAACAGGATGGTTTGTAACGTTTTAATCTGTAGCAGGCTTTTAGTTAATAAAGTTATGCCATATTTTCCTTAGTATATAGTAATGTTTTTGTTGAATTAGCTACTTGGCCTTAGGTAGTTTGGGTGGTAGGCAGAAGAAAATATGCTCCACTGCTATGACTTGTTAGCTATAAGGGAACATATCCTCTCAGGTGTTGGTGATGTTCTGTGCCATGAGCAGCCAAAATGTTAATGCAAGTAATATACTTAGAAGTGGGAGCCGTAGTCGCCAACACCCAAAATGGCCCCACAGGGTAAATTTCCCTCTTTTTCCCTGTCATCTTGACAGGCGTGTATAGGGCATTGTCTTCCAGTGAGGATGTAGATGCCTTAGTCCCACACACACTTGGATCCACGTGGTTCCTTTATCAAACAAACACTTCAGCCAGACTGTGTATGATTTTCCTGGCCTTTCTCCAAATCTGTACTCTAGATACTGTCTCATTTCTGTAAAGGCCTGTGTTAAATATGTTGGTTCCTTCTTAAATGCCTATGTGTCCAACTGCCCACTTCCTGAGGTCTCTGGCAATTGGATTGAGAATTATAGAGGTGTCCCAAAACTGGGGTATTGTGTGCTGAAACCTCTCATTTCTACATTTCTTTCTACTACCCATGCATTCACATGCATGAGAGAATGACCTGTCTCTTAGGCTTCCTTCCCCATAAAACATCCTGCTGCATGTTCACCTCCTGAACCCCCTGAGGCTTACATCTGTCCTCTGAACTGCGAGGTGGTGTGGGGGGTGGGGGGATTGGGAGGGTAAGGCCACTCTGACTTTGTAAATATGCCAGACTGGACCCTATTCACCGTGCCAGTTTTGTGAAGCACATTTACTATACACTGTTTACCAACTTGTCTATGTTCAATAGATTAAGCAGTCATACATTTATATAGCAGATTTATTACTTACAGATAGGCAGTAATTGACAATAGAAGCAAATAATTCATGCTGGGTCACTCTACTAGGCTCAGGAAAGGCTGTTGTGGACAGATGGAGTCTCACATGTGTATGCCCTACTTGACTTGAAGTAGGACTCCAGAAACCAGTTTAGCCTAGGACTTAACACCCCAGAGTGATGTGAGTGATATTTTATTCCTTGGGGAGGACTGGAACAGAGCATGGGCTATTTAACTAGAGAGCTAACAAAAAGTATGAAACTTAACATATCCATAGTGGAATTTATAAACTTTCCCCACCTATCCAAATCTACATTAATTTTACTGTGTACTAAATTTTGCATTTGCCAGTAAACAGCACCACCAGTTACCAGAAATCCTAGCATCTTTCTAGATTCCCCTTTTTCTCTCAAATTCTGTATCAAGTCCATCAGCAAATTCTATTGACTTTAAAATAATATACAGAATATAGCCACATTTTATCACAAATAAAGTTTGATTCATTGCCAGCCTCATTCAAGCCATCACCTGTGTGAGGGCTACTGCAATACTGTCCTTCTTAGTTGCCCTATTTTTATTTACTCTTAAAATTTGCTCTTTACAGAAGATGAATTTAAATTGTATCACATCACTTCTGTGCTTAAAGTCCTTCAATGGTTTCAATTCATGTGTATAATTAAATCAAAAGATTATCATAGCCTGCAACATGTTTCATGTTATAATTCCTGGCTCCTCCTTATGTTATCTCACTGGTCCAACCATAGTTCCTCAAATACCTAACCATGTTCCCCAGGGCTTGACAAGTACAGTGCCAGCTATTTGCTTGTTTGTTGCTTTTCATCCTGACTTCTGTTCAAATGTCATCTCACAAAGGTTTTCCTTTATTCTTAAAATAACAGTTCCCATCACTTTCTGTCCCTTGACCTTGCTTTATGTATTTGTTTATCATGTCTTCCATCCTAGAATGGGTTCCTTGTGTCTTGAACAGTACCTAGTAAATATTTGGTGAATCATGAGCTAATCAAATGGTCCAGAATTTCCAGTCACTGTCATGTAAATAAGATGATTGAATTTTTAAAACTTTTCGCTACTGGTGTCTTGTACAGTGTTAGATATCTGGTTATTATTGTTGAAAAGATGTTAAGTATTAGCAGTACTTTTCCACAATATTCGCTATTTAGATCTTATGTCCCTTAATTCTTCTTAAAATATTTTCATATGCATGCTCTTAAATTCTAAAATCACTGCATTTAAACTTAGTGTAAGGTGGCTGTTGTTTCAGCTTTATAGATTTACAAACTTGTTTTTAGCTTCTTCATGTGGTTTGTTTAAATATGCAGGATTTGTTTTTTTAAGCACATTATCTCCTGGGTTTTACTATCACACATGGAATGAAAATATTTCAGGTGTGGTATATGAGTTATATCCCCAAAACACTGAATTTTAAAGAGAAATTCAGTGTTTAAAGTTATCATGGTTGAATTATTTTCCTTATAATGGCCACTTCAAATTGCAATGAAATTTAAGACGTATGGATATATGTGTATAAGAAAATGGATGTTTTTTGTAAAATGTAATATTTTCCAATTTGGAATTTCTTCTTAAAGGACTGTAAGACTTTAACAGCAAAGGAGAAAGAAGTTAAAAAGATAACAGATGGACTGCATAGCCTTCAAGAAGCAAGTAGTAGAGATGCTGAAGCTTTGGCTGCTGCACAGCAGCATTTCAACGCTGTTTCTGCTGGCTTGTCCAGCAATGAAGATGGAGCAGAAGCAACTCTGGCTGGTCAGATGATAGCCTGTAAGAATGAAATAAGTAAAGCTCAGACAGAGGCCAAACAGGTAAAGACAGACACTAAGCCATTACTTTCTTTAAGAGCCTGCTTTTCATGTTATCCTTTGGCAATTGTTAAATGTTGAAAATAATTAGTTCAAACACATTAGGGAATTTGTTAATCTCATTCTGCCACTCTAGTGCCTTATATAGAAAGATTCAAATATGTTGATTAATAAATATTGATGTCAGATTGTCAAGATGCTATAAAACATATATTATCATAATTCAATTTGTAAGTGTAGTAATGTTTGCAATATTGGAGGCTAGCCAATTCTCATTCTTTTTGGCTGTTACCTGTTTTATTGACATCGTAAAGTTGAGGGCTTAAGCTTTAACAGGAAAATAAAATTGTTGTTTTTATTCCTTGCCTACCATTTCTAATTCTTAAAAGTATATTTTTGAAACTTTACACCATCCATATAGACATATATCTACCACAGGTTTATTGTGCACATTCCAGTATTTGGTCTTACTACTGTGATGTCGTAGTTTCAGTCTTGTCCATCTATTAACGGTTCTCAAAATCATTTAGATAGTATTGTAGGTTGTAACAATATATATAAACATACATATATAGGTTGTTTTGCTCTTGTTTATGGAAGACTCAGTTTTCAAAACATATACACGGAAAGGTTTGTGTGTTTGTTAATCCTACTCATGGTTTTTGTTAATCCTTTTCAGTTTTTTTTGTTTGTTTTTCAGTACTGGGGCTTGAACACAGAGTGTCACATGTGCTAGGCAAGTGCTCTAATACTTGGGCTATGCATCCTCTCCACCACCCAGCCCGTCTGTTTTTATCTGTCTTTCAGACAGGGTTCTTCTGCATTTTTCCTGGGCTGGCCTCAGGTTCAGGATCCTCCTGCCTTCACCTCTGAAATAACTGGTATTACAGATTGTACCACCACACCAATCATTACTCATGTTTTTCTGCTAGTATATATTTGAAGAACTCCACAGTGAAACTTTAAATTGCTTTGTTTTTCTGTTAACTTATGTATGAGAGAATTTGAGAAAAATCTATCATTCAGTTATATAGAGAATATCTCAATCTAGGTCTTAGGTTACAAAATATAAACATGGCTTTAGGAAGCAGCATTCACTTATATAAACTTCAGATTCCTGAAGCTCAGAAGTTCTAGCATTTAAATATCAGACTTCTAGGATTTAAATTTCTCTGTCAATTTAGTTTTCCTTTTCTATTTTCTTATTCTTCATCATTCAGTGTAGCTTCTCCAGTGTTGCTAAACAGTACTCCCAAAGAAAGAAGCACAAATACATATGTGAATACTGCAATGAAAAGGAAGGGAACTGTGTTATTCTTTGAGAGATTTTTTTAAAACTCTGTTAATGTTAATGTTATATCTTATAAATATTAAAAATACAAACATGTTCTAAATTATTTAATGATGTACATTAATCATGCATTTGTTTATAGTCTGAAGGCTTTTGGAGGAGGAAATACTGGGAATTGAGAGATCTTTTGCAATATTAATCCAGTGAATCAGTTACATTTTCAAGGCTGAGGTTTCTTATTTAGACCAATCTAAACATGTGACCATTTAATTATGAGCACTATCTGCCTCATATAGTCTGTTACATTTTCCTTCACAGGCTCAAATGAAATTGAAACATGCCCAACAGGAATTAAAGAATAAACAAGCAGAAGTTAAGAAGATGGACAGTGGCTACAGGAAGGATAAAGAAGCTTTAGAAGCTGTAAAAAGACTCAAAGAAAAACTTGAAACTGAAATGAAGAAACTAAATTATGAAGGTTTGCCCTTAAAGACAGGATAAATCATTAGGTGATAGTGGTTTTTGATAGAGACTAAAAGGAAATAAACAAGTACAAATTTTTCATCCTGTTAATGGGCATTAATACAAGAAGTGTTTGTAAATGCAATCACAAAAATGTCTTAAGTATAAATCTGCTCTTTGAATGTTTGAGAATTCAGCATTGAGATTTTCCTGCTTCTTTTATTTGAAACCACAGGAAATGCCATTTTACATTTTTGCATTAATAGGCATTAAATACGTATGTTATTTGTAATGAAAATTGTGTAGTTGTGGTTAATATGTCTACTTGGCAATTGATAGAAACTTGAAGCATGCTTTTTTATTTAATATTTACCAGAAATTTATATTTTGCTTCTAGGAATGCTTTAGAAATAGGGATTACTTACATTTTCTTTGATCCTGTTGCAGTTTTAAAACTTGATTTCATTTTGCCTATGATTTCCTCCTCAGAAAATAAGGAGGAAAGCCTTTTGGAAAAGCGCAGGCAGCTGACCCATGATATTAGTAGGTTGAAAGAAACATATGAAGCTCTCTTGGCCAGATTTCCCAATCTTCGATTTGCATACAAGTAAGAGATTTAAACCTTGTATTTTAACATAGTAATAGCTAAGATATGTTTTTACTTAGGATGGAAGATAATCTGAATGTTGTTTGACACCACAATTTTTGTATGAAAATTCTTTTAAATTGCTTTTCTTTAATAGGTGTTTTTTTCCTTAAACAGTTATTGAAGTATTTTAAATGCCGATAAGAGGAATTCTTGCAAAATTTAATAGCTGCTAATGTCACTAATCTTAAAACCAAAATGAGAGGAATTTAATTTCAGTTAAAGAATCATTAAAGTTATTCCATCATTACTGTTAAATATCTACATTTACATCTTCAGATTTGTTTTGCTATATGAGTGTTTTATGGCATACTTAACAGTAATCATGTGAATTACAGCGATTAGACTATCAAAGATGTTTTTGTTACATGAAAAACTTACTGAAAAGATCACTTAATTGATTAGAAAACATTAGCTGACTAGTGATCTGGAATTGAAATGTTTAAATTTTGCTTTTAGTAAAACTGTGAATCTCTTGCCTTCATGTCAGTTGAACATGTCCAAAAGAGCTCTTGAATAGGAAAGAATAACTTTCTCCATTTTCTTATCTAAGACTCATTTTCTCAATTTTTCTATTTCAGAGATCCAGAGAAGAATTGGAATAGGAACTGTGTGAAAGGACTTGTAGCATCTTTGATTAGTGTGAAAGACACTTGTGCAACCACAGCTTTAGAATTGGTGGCTGGGGAGCGACTCTACAATGTTGTAGTGGACACAGAGGTAAGTTGATTTTATGTAAGGTTAGAGTTAATGTTTCTCACTTTAAAACAGTGTGCTACTATAAGAATTGGGTGCTTTCTTAATGTTTGCAGGTCTCCCAATTCACTTACACGATAAAACCATTCATTTAATAATTTTTTGGAACTTTATCCCAAAGATTTATTTTGTTTTTTGCTGTGCAAGTGTTTATTTTTTTAAATTTGTAACAATAACTTGTTTTTAGTGTAAGTCCTCCCATCAAAGTAACATCCAATTTAATGTCTATATTTCTTGATTTCCCACGGTGGAATGTTCTTACTCACATGAATGCTACATTGTCCGTTACCAAATTTACTTCCTGGGCCTTTTATTTGTGTCTTGTTTTTATTTTAATTTTATATATTAATGGTATACAGTACTAAATAAGAAATGATTATTGTAGTTGAACTTACAGCCTTCACCTTTCATGCTGTTTCCCCCTGACTTTGATAGTAAGAGCACCTGCAATCTATTCTGTTAACAGATTTTCAATGTATAATACAATATAATTAATTAATAGTTCTCATGCTGTCCATCATATCTCTAAACTTAATTATTCTGCCTAACTGTAGTTGTCTACCATTGTACTACCCCTATCCATTCTTCCCACTGCCCTGTCCTGGTAACCCTTTGTTCTCTGTTTCTTTAAAAATTTTTCTTCTTACTATTCTGCATGTACGTGATATCATGCAATATTTTGCTTTGTGTCTTGCTTGTCACTTAGCATAAATATTTTTCCAGTTGATTCATGTTGTCACAAATACCAGCATCTGCCCTTTCTAAGTGTAAGTAATAATCTATTGTGTACATTCTTAAACTTTTGGTTGTTTGGGATAGAATGCACTAAACATTTATTTAATATGGATTCCTAAACTTTCATACTTTCCATTTTAATGAGTTCTGTCATCATTAATAATTTTTTAAATTTTGAATTCATATTTTAGGTTACTGGAAAGAAACTACTAGAGAAAGGGGAATTGAAGCGTCGTTACACTATAATTCCACTTAATAAAATTTCAGCCAGGTGTATTGCTCCAGAAACGCTGAAGGTTGCTCAAAATCTTGTAAGTCTTTTGTCTTATTTAAGCATTTAATCTATATAATTTTTTTTATATTAGAAGATACTGACTTTATGGGACATAACCATGCAGAATCACACAATTTTTAATTTTGTTACATTCAAAAGAATGAAGATAAAATAAACGTAGGGTTGCCTCTTCTGTAATTACATGGCAAGCGAATAGAAGTATTGGAATATTAGAATTCCCTTTGAATGGTATTAGAATGTCTTCAACCTTAAATCAAGTCACGTAACTATTAAGTGACAGTGAAAATTACATTTCTTATTTCTGAAGTTAGAATTGAGTTTACAGATAAATATCTAGAACTTTCAAGGTTTTTTTTAATACCAGGCACACTTAATTTCCCACAATGACAAACATTATAGAAAGCCATCCATCAGTGTTTCAGAGGTACTTATTTATTAGAGCTCTTCTAGATTGCTATTCACCCTGTGAGCACACATTCCAGATGACTGGAATCCTAGTCAAATGCTAAGGAGAATGTATAGTGGTTGCCTACTAGTAAGAAAATAGAAGTGTATAAGGAAGTAACATTTAAAAAGCTATTGTGGACTGTGTACTAGTTGATAAAAACATGAAGCTAATAATAACACTTACTAGCAAAATTAGTTTGATATTGAAAAGGCATTCCAGGTGTGTGAAAAGACAGTTGTATAAAACATAGAAATAGCATTTGTAATTGGGTTGATACCCACTGTCCTTATTGAAATTGAGAAGTTTTCAATCAAAATGACTTCAAACTACTGTTGAATTAATAAGTATACTGTGTATAATCAGGAGAGGAAGGGTGAATGAAGAATAATGGAAAAATAGTGACTTTTTGTTTGGTACCTTTACTTGAAAAAAATCAACTTTGGTGAAGAAGTTCAGCAAGTTACTTCAGCTGTAGGTCAAGTCCCAGTGTAAGTAAATTGGGATTTCAAGTAAGGGCAAAAATTCTTCTCTCAGATTTTGTAGCCAGACCTGTTTAATGATAACTGCTATCTCTAAGAACAAAATTGAACCGTGTTGCATAGAGTTGTGATTGCAGATGCTACTAAGTTCCATAGGGATGATTAATTTTTCTAAAAAGATAATCACAGAAAGACATTCTATAAACAAAGATCGGAAACAGGCGGTTGGATCAAAGTAAAAGACTGAGGACTTTCTCTGTTCTTTTTTGCTATTTCGGGTATGGTTGTGTTTTTATTTCTATGTTTGGCAGATGGCTGAACTTTTATCTTTAGTTTGAATAAAATAGTATTCACTGTGGAACAAACTACTAATAATTAAGACACTTTGCATAATTATCATCTGGGAATTACTGTAATTAAGAAAGCTGTGTTTACATAGTCCATTTTAGATTTAGGAACTTGGTATTAGTTCTTTCACAGAAACTCAAAATGCCTGGTTTTTTTAGCTAAATATTTTGCTTAGCAATAGATCTTTGAGTGTTTAAGCCTATAATTTTCTCTGAAACTTTAAATTTTACAAAGCTTTTAGATAAGTTCAGAAAAATTTTAATACTAGGCAAATATTACATAAACGTCACTGGTTTATGAGATAATGTTTCAAAGGAGAGGAAGTCATGTGTACTACGGCACATCTGTTGTTCCCGCAGGTTGGTCCTAACAATGTTCATGTGGCTCTTTCCCTGGTTGAATACAAACCAGAACTTCAGAAAGCGATGGAATTTGTCTTTGGAACAACATTTGTTTGTGACAGTATGGATAATGCCAAAAAAGTGGCCTTTGATAAAAGGATAATGACTAGAACTGTAACTTTAGGAGGTGATGTATTTGATCCTCATGGAACATTGAGTGGAGGTGAGTTTTGTTTTTTTGTCTTCACAATTCTGATTCTTTTTAAAATGGGAAATAATGGAGCTGGGATGATTTAAGAGTTTTATTCATAATTTTTATTAGAAACAGGATTGGAGCCCAGGTTTTACATTTCAGGTCAAAGGCATAGGTCTGTACCATTAGTTAAATGTAAGATTTGGATATGACTTTGAATAGCCAGCATGTATATTTTCTCATTATTAACTAGATAGTTAATAATGAGAAAATAGTCAGTATTATAGTCCATAAGAACTCAATCAGTCCTATAGCTTCTTTTATTCAACTCAAATCTATTTCCAGTTAGTTTTGGATTTTTGTTCCGTCAGGCTATTTCATCTGCTGGTGTATTGATAATGGAATATTCTTGCTTGTTTTATGCTTTTTGCTCAGTTAGTCACAGCTAAATTCTTTTATTATTAAGTGTGTTTTTATCCTAACTATTCACTTCTTCAGGAAACCTCTTAACTCACATGTCATTGTTGCTATTGCTCCCATTAAAAATAAAAACCTTTGAGATGGTGCCTTTTTCATAGACAGTGATTTTCTGTGTGTGTGTGGTATTGGGATTGAACTCAGGGCCTTGCACTTGCTGGGCAAGTGCTCTACATTTGAGCCATGTTCCCATTCTTTTTGCTTTTACTTCATTTTTCAAATAGGGTCTAATAACTAACTTTGTCCCAGCTGGCCTGAAACTGTGACCCTTCTACCTCCTCCACCCAAGTAGCTGAGTTTACGGAGATGCACTACCACATCAAGAATCATATTCTTGTTGTAATATCTACCACATTGATTTTCCAAATCTGTGTCAAGTGATACTATAATAGCAAATAGTAAATAATACTCCTAACAGGTAGTGTTCCAAGACTGTGCTGTTCACTGTATTAGTCACTAGCTATATGTGGCTCTTTACATTCAGTTTCCTCAGTTACACTAGTTGCTTTTCAAGGTCTGGCTCAATAATCATAAATGGTTAATGGATAATTAGTGCAGATAACAGCACATTTCTGTCATTCTGTAACAACCTATTCTGTGGGCTTTAAATAACTCATTAATAACAGCTTTATGGCAGGCTTGTTACTATCATCTCTAATAGATAGTTGCACAGATTAAAATACAGTTGTTCTGGAAGCAATAGGTATAGGCAAGGACTTCCTCAGTAGAACTGAAGCAGCCCAGCAACTAAGAGAAGGGATGGACAGATGGAACTACATGAAATTAAAAAGCTTTTGCACAACAAAAGAAATGGTCTCTAAACTGAAGAGTCCACCCATGGAGTGAGAGAAGATATTTGCTAGCTCTACATCAGACAATGGACTTATAACTAGAATATATAGGGAGCTCAAAAAACTAAGCTCCCCCAAATCAATGACCTAATAAAAAAAGTGGGCAACTGAACTAAGCAGAACTTTTTCAAAGGAAGAAGTCCAAATGGCCAAAAAACACGTGAAAAAAAAATGCTCACCGTCACTGGCTATAACGGAAATGCAAATCAAAACCACACTAAGATTCTACCTCACTCCTGTTAGAATGGCCATCATTAAGAACACCACCACCAACAAATGTTGGTAAGGCTGCGGGGAAAAAGGAACCCCCCATACACTGCTGGTGGGAATGTAAGCTAGTACAACCACTGTGCAAAACAATATGGAAGCTTCTTAAAAAAATAAACATAGATCCAACAAAACCACTCCTAAGGATATACCCAAAGGAATGCAACTCAGGTTATTCCAAAGGTACCGGCACATCCATGTTTATTGGAGCGCTATTCACAATAGCCAAGCTATGGAAACAGCCAAGATTCCCCACTGCTGATGAATGGATTAAGAAAATGTGGTATTTGTACACAATGAGATTTTACTTAACCACAAAGAAGAATGAAATTTTGAAATTTGCAAATAAATGGATGGAACTAGAGAATGTCATTTTAAGTGTAACCCTGCTTAGAAGGCCAAAAGCTATATGTTCTCCCTCATATACAGATTATAGATCTAAAACAAATGCAGTAATATTATTGGACTTGGGTCACACACTAAGGGCAAAACGCATATGGGAGGAATAGGGAAAGGGAAGGAAACCTAAAAGTTGAATGTGGCTGATGTACCCACTGTAGGTGAACAAATATAGTAATCTTAAACTGGCAGAGGCCACTATGGGAAGGTGACCAGGAAGTAGTGAAGAGGTTTGGTAGGGATGAACCAGTGTGGGTTGTAACACACATATGTATGAAAGCAACACTAGGAATCTGTCTGTATAGCAGTCTCTGCCTCTAACTAGCAAAAATGCTATGTCTTTCTTATTATCTCTTATGTTTTCTCTTCAACAAAATTGTAGAAGAGGGCAGAACAGGTTCTGCCTGGAAGTGAGGGGCGTAGGGAAGAGGGGGGAGGGAGCTGGGAGGAGAGATGGCCCAAACATTGTATACACATATGAATAAATATAAAAACAGTTTTAAAAAAAAAGGTTCAAAGGAAAAAAAAAATACAGAGTTGTTAATAGCTTGCTGGTAAGTGTCAAAATTAAAATTAGTCCCAGACAATCTGCTTTCAAATTTTGTGCTTTTAACCCAAAGGCTGTACTAAGCCTTTTGAGATAAAAGTGATTTAATGTCATTCTAGGCCAATTAAATAAATTCTGTGTTCAAGTATCATATTCCCCAGTACACAGTAAAGTGACTAGTATCTGCAAGTGGAAGAAAACTAAGTATTTTTAAATCTGAAATGGAATAACTTTTAAAGCTTATACTTAAGAGATAGCATCTTTTAATAAATGTATGTATCTTTTTAATAAATAGCAATGATAGTTGACCTTGGCATCCTCCCATGAAAACTGCAGTTTTCCTGTCAATGTAATACTTGAAGCTTCAATGCCAGATGATTATGGTTGCTGCTATAGTAATGTGAAATCACTGTATTCTACTTGCTCTGCTGTATCAGAGCTTAGGCCAAGTTATGATGTAGTAACAGCCCCCCAACTCTTAATCACTTACAAGTTTATTCCATAATTACTCTGCATTTACTGCAGATCCATTGCCTCTGCTTCATAATGTTCTTATTTTGTAGCTCAGTCTGAAAGAGAAGTGGTTCCTATCTTCAACATGATTTCATGGCAAAGGGAAAAGAAATGTTCTACCTCTCAAAGCTTGCTTTCCTAAGAGTATATTGCCCATTTCATTGGCCAGAGCAAATCACGTGTCCACGCTCAGTGTCAGTAGATGGAAAATGGGCCTTTAAATGGGCCCAAAACACAGGACTGTAGTTATTTTGAATAAATCTACTCCATCTACTTATAACTGTTTCTCATTGCTTATGTGTTTTAAGTTTCAAGTGATGGAATGATTTCTTTACCTTCATAAGTTCACGAATGGATTTGCTATTTAATTATTTTCAGTATAATTTCCTTAGAAAGAGTTTTATTGTTTAATAAGCATATGTAGCATAATGTGCAAGGCTATCTGAATTTGTCTCTTGTCAGGTGCTCGATCCCAGGCAGCTTCAATTTTAACTAAGTTTCAAGAACTCAAAGATGTTCAGGATGAGCTGAGAATCAAGGAGAATGAGCTTCGTGCTCTAGAAGAGGAATTAGCCGCTCTTAAAAATATTGCTGAAAAGTAAGACTTTTATTGGATTAAACTATATATATTTTTATGTATATATATATATATATATGTACACACACAAACATCAAAAATTTGCATAATAGGAAATAGTTGAAAATAGGTTTATTTGAAATATCTAAATAAATTATGAGTAAATAACTTACCTGTTACTTATTCATTTTTTTTCTGATAAAAACAATGTTTAGAAGAAATTAGCAAAATGTAATTGAGCAAAAAGAAAGGAAATCGGTCAAGTACTCTGTCCAATCTTTTCTATGAGAAAGTTGTAATAATTTTTCTGTGGTATATGGAAACTCAAGGTAATTTATTTGCAGTCATATTTGGCTTAGAACCATTAATATTGTTCAGTAATGTTGGGACATTTATTCTCCAGAAGTGGCTTATTGAATTGTGGCTCTGAGATTAGGTAAAGGAAATTGATTTTGAAAAAGATAAAAATGTTAGGATCAGCTAAAACCATGTTTTCACATCATATAGAAAATTAGTATACTTTTTTCTTAACGTTTCTATATTCTACATTTTTTTAATGATTTGAAGTTAAAATTATTGTCAAGAACAGATTCAGGCAATAATACTCAAGATAGTGTTTATGAATTGTTTGTTTTATGAGTTGTATCATTTTCCCCTCAAACCTCATGAGTTTCTAGTGACAAAGGTATCTTGTGAATTTATATTAACTTGAAATTTCACTGTAATTGAGTTAGTTAACTACCTTGCAAAGATGTGACTAAGAAGCCAGAATGAAAGTAGAATTAAGGATTTGCAAGAAAATGCATTAAGAATAATTATGGTCAATACTATGTCTTCTTAAACCAAATCACATTTCTAAAAGCATAGAACATTATTATTATTACTAGCATTTGTAAATAGGAATTAAGTAGATAATCAGATTTTTTGTATTTATGTAATAGTTATAATTAATTTTATTCTTGTGGTTAATAGTGGTTGTGGAGTTTTTCTTTTAGATAATAATTAAGAGGAGGGATATTTGTAAGAAAGCTTGTTTATTCAAAGATAATTTCTAAAATTAAGACTTATAAATAGTATAATGAGTCTTGATCACTGAGTCTTTACTTTGAATGATCGAATCAGACTTAAACTTAGTTGATACCTCAAAAGTTTCAGAGTCATCACTTCTTGATGACTACTGGCATCTTATATTGCTTATATCGTATGTGAGTAATAGCCTCAAGTTTGAATGCATGTCTCAAACACCAGGAAAAATTCATCATTTGTTATAAACTTCTCTCTTTGTAAGGTATTGCCAACTAAAACAGCAGTGGGAGATGAAAACAGAAGAGGCTGATTTATTACAAACCAAGCTCCAACAAAGCTCATATCATAAGCAACAAGAAGAATTAGATACTCTTAAAAAAACTATTGGTAATATTAAAGAATTTTATACTTTATCGGTAGATCTCCTTTACCTTACATTTAGAAAACTTATATTTAAGACATGTGGGAGCATTTCTACAGGGTGAATTCATGTGTGGGACTTCTGGGTCTTATGATATGCTCAACTTCATCTCTATTATCTATCACCAAAATCTACTTTTTCCAGTATTCATTTCTACCAGTGACGTGAAAATTTTCATTTCTTCAAATCCTTTCCAGACTTCTAAAATTCTCCAATTGTGTGGTTGTGAAGACATAATACATTTTAATTAGGATTTAATTTGCATTTCCCTTTTCACTGGTGAAATTCGGGATCTTGTATGCTTACTGAACCTTTGAGTTTTTACTTCTGAGAATTTCTTTTTTGTTTTTGTCCATTTTTTCTGTTTGTAGTTTGTGTTTCCTCCCATTGTTTTCATACTTAAGAGTTATAATTTCTTGTAGATTATATGCATTGCAAATTTTCTTTGGCTTATGTACTTGTTTTTTAACTGTGTTTATAATATTTTTTGTTATACAAAAGTTATTAATGTTTAGTATAGTTTATTTTATGGCTACCTTCCTAATTTTACGATGCTGTCTTTCCCTTTTTTTAATCTTAATTTAATTGTATGTGGTAGTTTTTATTTTTGTCATTCATTAGGACAGTATCCACACATTTGTTTCCCCACTATTATTTTTGCTGTGCAATGAAAAATAGTGTAGAAAATTGTCCAGTCATGGCTTCCAGGGCATATTTGCACCTAGGTCCTAACACTTAACAGTAAATGTCATGTCTGACATTGACATGTCCATGCCTTTTTGCTCTTTTATTTTCTAGTATATTTTCTTTACTTCATCTTAGGCATGTTCTTACAATATTTATCCTGTGAGGAAGGTTCCTCTAATGTGCTTAAATGGGCAAAGAACCACTGTAAGCATTCTGGCAACTAAAATTATGGAAAAAAATACAATAGCTGTACTTTCAGTTCTGGTTTTAGGAAGCATAAATGTATTTTAAAAATATAAGTTGTGGGGCTAGGGATGTAACTCAGTGTGCTTTCATACCTGAAGTCCTAGGTTCAATTCCCAGGACTCTGAAAAAACAAAACAAAACTGTGAATATAGATACATAGGCCCACACATATATATGTATATAATGCATATACAGCACACTCATATACTCACACGTATCAACTGTGATCTTTTTAAAATTAGGTAAATTGTAGGTAAAGTTTATATAACTCAATTTCAAACTGTTAGAAATAATTTCTCAGGTCTTTAGATGATTCAAATATGACTCTTACTAGGATTTGTTTTTCAGTATTCCATTTCTAGAATATAGTTATAACAATTAAAATTTTTTTCTTAAAGTGTAGTTTATAATTTCTGAGCCATTTCTTATATTAAAAGGTGAATTTAGAGATCAGGAGGATGGCAGTTTGAGGGCATCCCTGGCAAAAATGTGAAACCCTATCTGAAAAATAAGTAGAACAGAAGGACTGACAGTGTCACTCAGTTCAGTCCCCAGTACTGTTTTCCCAAAACAGTTGGATTAAAAACCTTTATCTATGATTGTTAATTTAGCTTCATTTAACTACTTTATGATTCAGAGGAAAGTGAGGAAACCTTAAAAAACACCAAAGAAATCCAAAAAAAAGCAGAAGAAAAGTATGAGATATTGGAGAATAAAATGAAAAATGCAGAAGCTGAAAGAGAAAGAGAACTGAAAGATGCTCAGGAAAAACTGGATTGTGCTAAAACAAAGGCTGATGCATCTAGCAAGAAAATGAAAGAAAAACAACAGGTAATAATCTTTCTTGAAATTGAACCAGTCTTCTAAAGTCAACCTAGAGTGGAAGGTAGAAGAGCATCACGGGTTGGCCTTATTCTTCTAATCCAAAATTCATTTGGCCTTATTAATTTGCTTCCAAAATCTAAAAGCAAGTGTGTTGTTTAGTAAGTAAATAGGTATAATACAAGGCAAAGAATTGTGTCCTCCAAAAACCCTGTGATTGAGTCTCAGATGTTGTGAATATGGGTTGCATTGGCTTGCTGATTTTAGGGAATGAGCAAAGTTGCCTTTTGGTAAATGGTTCAGGAGTGGATGTGATATGGAACTATGTCATATCAGAGATCTTTAGTTGTTGTAGACTGATGCCTCATGTCTTTTGAATAATGGCAAAGCTAGAATTTGAACTACATTTTGTCTCCAAAGCCTAAATTCTTCTAACTCTGATCTTCAATTTTACAAACCTTTCTTCACAGTTTATTTTTTCTGTTGTTACACAACTTAAGTTTCTGTCAGTAAATATCTGCACAAAATAATTTTGTATTGAATTAAAAGGCTATAATGGGAAAAAAATAAACTGCACATTAAACAATTTTGTTTATTAAAACTCCACTAATTCATTCTGTATTTAGAATATTATGTTCCCTGTAAGAAGAATAAAATAATTTATGCAGTTATTTAAACCCATAAAAATTATACACGCATTTTTCTTTTTTGTTGTTAATATAGGAAAATAAACTGGCATTTACCCCTTCTTAGTAAGCAGCTTAACATGTCTTTGGTAGTGGGTAGTAACTAAACTATCGGTTGTACTTGCTTAAGAATCATGGTAAGTTTTATCCTTGAATATATTTATTTATCAGAAGTTAATAACCTGTGTGAATATCTGTTTTGTTTTTGTAGGAGGTTGAAGCTATCACTCTAGAGCTAGAAGAGCTCAAGAGAGAGCATATATCCTATAAACAGCAGCTTGAAGCTGTAAATGAAGCCATCAAATCCTATGAAAGTCAGATTGAAATAATGGCAGCTGAGGTCACTAAAAATAAGGTAAGAGTTATCAAATTGGAAAAATTAAAAATGCTGTCTATGAAATGTTGAATCAAGTAGTGCTCTTGACTTTTTTTTTTTTTTTAACTCTTGTCATGGTGAGTGTGAGGTGAAAATGGTGATTACTGATCCAGAATAAGTCCTAAATTAGCATCAATAATTGTTGAAGTCTAAATCAACTTGAAGACAAAAATCACAGAGTAATTCAAACAGGCAGAGTTTAAGTAAAAAATTGACTATAATAGACATTTGGGATAATAAGGACTGACTACTAAGGACTAAAGAGAATTCTAAAGAATATAAGAACAGTAGAAAGAAGGGGTAGTTATTATCCTTAGGCATGAGATGCTGCGTTGCCCCCCTAACCTGATTTTTTTAGTGGTAATCCAGGTTTTCTTTTATATAAATTCATTACTTATTTTAATGGGGAGATAGAGTGTAGAGGATTAGATGACCATCTGTCTAATCATATTGTCATCGTCAGACAAACTGTTAGTAAAATAGAAATATATATGTGTGCCCTTACTGAGTATTCTCTGTATTTTTGTTGTTTTTATTTTAGGAGTCAGTAAATAAAGCCCAAGAAGAGGTGACCAAGCAAAAAGAAGTAATAACAGCCCAAGACAATGTAATTAAAGATAAATATGCAGAAGTAGCAAAATATAAGGAGCAAAACAATGATTCTCAGCTTAAAATTAAGGAATTAGACCATAACATCAGCAAACATAAACGGGAAGCTGAAGATGCTGCTGCAAAGGCATGTTTGTGTTCATTTTTACCCTTAATAATCCATTTTCTTTATCTGGGCTGTTAAAATTCTAGTAAACGCTCATTGAGAAACTTGGTATAAGCGTCAAAGCAATAGCCGAGCATAATTTCTAGCTTACAGCTATGGTAACTGTTTCTCAGCATTGCTCATTTTCAACTAATGATACAAATGCTTTACTTTTTAAGTTTGATTTCAGATGCTCATTCCCATCTACAATATGTATTTAATTAATGTTTAATGGTATCCCATGGGATTAGCTTTTTTGGTCTTAAATATTGATAGAACTACTTACTAGTGTATTAGTAATGATAATATATATATATTTACCTTCAAATTGTATTTAAAGAACTCATAAATGTACACACACATCATTTTTTAAAAAGGCAAGGACTTAATGGATTTCTAGTGTCTGTATAAGGATCAGTACTGTCAGTTTTTACATGAGAATCTGATTTTTTTGCCAGTTTTCTTGATCACTTTAAAATTTTCTTCCTGTTTCAGAGTATATTTACTTAAGTATTTTAAAGAAAAGACATACTTTGAAGAAATTTATTATTGATTCAGAGGCTGTATCCATCCACATGGATCCATTATGGTCTCAATAATTCTTTCACTAGTGTGGATCGGATTGGTGCATTTTTATTGCCCAGGATCCTTTTAGCATTCTAAACTGCAGAAACTAATTACAAAAAGATCATCAAGAACATGCAAAAGAGTCTCCTGTTCTCTGAAAGAACTATAGATGCCTGTTCAGGTTCATTACTTGGTTTAAAATACATTTTTTATGACTACATCATAATCTCCCACTTTATTTTATTACTATTGATTTCCCATTAGCCTGTAGCTAGTTGTAGTAGGGTTACTGAGATATTACTAATACCAGTGTTACTGAGCATAGATTTTTGCTAATTGGAAATGCTAGGATTGGTGACTGTTAGAACATTTTATTTAGTATTAAGGCAATAGAAGGAGGGACTTACAAGTGTAGGTGCTAAAAACTCAGGGATTCTTTGAAAAACATTTATGCAGACCTGTTATTATCAGATACTACCATATACTGAAGATACAAGATTAAGTAACATGTGGATACAGTGCTTTCATAGAACTTACAGGTCAGCAAGGAAGATGGACTATAAATTATAAATGATTTTTCTTCAAGGTCTAGAGATAAGGCCATGCCCATGGAATTAGTAATATTAGACAAACAAGGATTGAATCCCATCTGTCAGAAAAAGTCTTTAATAATTATTGTAGAAGAAAGGTTATAGGTATAAATCTGAAGATTTTAATTGGTATATTATGTGAAAAAGTATTATACTGTGTCTTGACAAAAAGGGTAAAAATGGGGATAGAGTCAACATTCAAGATAATTTTTTTCCTTAGATTAATGCTAAGAAAATTATTACATAGTCAAGATTAGGCTTCCATGATTTTACCAAATCTATGATTTAAGGTTTTCTAAGCAATTTTAGCATCTAATAAAGTTGCTTTTTAAAACAATAGATTAAATTTAGTAAAAATCTGAAGGAGCCTCATCTGATTACATTTCATTTTAATGGTAATAGTTTGCATGTACAGGCAAACTGTCCTTATTATGAAAATCCTAAATCCTAAATGTTCAAAAATCCAAATTTTTTGGGTTGTTGACATGATGCCATAAGTGGAAAATTCCACACCTGACCTTCTGTAACAGATCACAGTCATGATTAAGCTTCACTAAAAATATCGCATGAAATTACCATCAGGTTATGAATATGAGGTATATAAGGAACATCATTATGTAGGTATTCCAGAATTTTTAAAAAACCCAAAACAATTTTGGTCCCAAGCATTTTAGAATAAGGGATACTCAAACCTGTACTTTCTGTACATATTTCTGTATGTTATCTCCTCTTCTAATGCTTAATAATAGGAACATCTTTTTTTATATAATTTGCTGTGTCTTTAGTCTATGCTTGGTAAAAATATTCATCCTATGGCTGAAGTGGCTCAAGTGGTAGAACACTTGCCTATCAAGTGCAAGGCCCTGAGTTGAAAGCCCAGTACCACCCTCTCCCCCAAAATGTATCCTTATTCCTGTCAATGGTGAGTCACTGTATTTTCCATCCCAACTATTTGATTTAAAATTAATAAGTATTTAGGAAACTGGTTTCTAAGTGTTGGTTTGTAAATGTTCTTCTGTTTTCATGTGTCTAGGTATCCAAAATGTTGAAAGATTATGACTGGATTAATACAGAGAAACACCTCTTTGGCCAGCCCAATAGTGCCTATGATTTTAAAACTAACAACCCCAAAGAAGCTGGTCAGAGACTTCAGAAGTTGCAAGAAATGAAGGAGAAATTAGGAAGAAATGTCAATATGAGAGCTATGAATGTACTGACAGAAGCTGAGGAGCGGGTAAGTCAATTTCCTATGAATTTGTAGTCTCATTTGAATGAAGTAGTATTGTGGCTGTGTAAATCCTATGTAATCATTAGATTCAACCTTTTGCCTAATGTCCTAAGATCTAAATTTCTATTTTCCTCTTTCTTCCATTTCTTCGTTTCTCTTCATATTGTTTTGTTCTTTTTATATCATCAGGTATTTTTATATTCTATCGTATTGATGCTTCCATTGGATTTTGCTCTTTGTCATAAACATGTTTGTCTCTTTTCTGATTCTTTTTTTTTTTAACTTGTGCTGGTGGGGGTACACTGTGACATTTACAAAAGTTCTTACAATATATCATACTTGAATTTACCCCCATACACACACCATTCTCCTTTATCCCTCCTCCCCTCATTCCTGGAATATTTCAACAGGTACCATTTTTCCATTTACATGCATGTGTACACAGTATTTGCACCACTTTCACCCTTCTACACCTTTCCCCACCTCCTCCTACTGGTGCCAGCCTGCCCAGGCAGGACCTGTTCTGACTTCCTGTTCTCCAGTACTCTAAAAGGAAAAAAAATGACATTTTTGCTCATTTATACATGGAAGTGTCACAAGGAAATACCCTGTGTGGCTATCTTTTCTGATTCTTGGTATAAATAAAGCACCACTTTTGGATCCTGTTTAATTCTTTCAGTTGCCTTCAAAGGCTTTGAGAAATATGGTATCTATTTTTTAAGATGTCTGCCTCCTTAGCATTAATTCCATAATTGATATCTAGAAAAACCCATTCAGGCCAGCAGTCCCTAGTCTTGGGGGACCCTTGGAAAAAGCAATAGTAGTAATTTTGTAGTAATGCCTCATACTTTAATTCTGAAAAATTCCTTTGGAATTTGCATATTAGAGTTAGTTGATGACAGATCTGCAAAACTGTTGATACTATGAGCTCAATTAGTGTTAAGAAATTTTGGTATGAGTATTTCTTATTAGTGTAAATTAATTGTTCAAAGGGGTTTCATTGTAATATTTCCATAGTGTCATCAAACTACTTAACCTTCCCTATAAATTCTCAGTTCTACCAAATGGATTTTATTCTGAAAAATATATATAATTTATAGTATTTGATTATATACATATATATATATATATGTATGAATGCACACAACAAGCACATACATAATATAGCTGTGACCAGAATACCTGAGAGTAGCTTAAGGGAGGAACGATTCAAATACTGGCTCATAGTTTCAGAGATTTCTGTCCATAGTCCTTGGTTCCATTGATTCTGAGCGTGTGATAAGAATGTAGAAAATCTAGGAAGCAGGAACAGGTTGCAGAGGTTACTCATTTCCTGGCAGACAAGAAGTGGAGAGAGCAATGGAGAGGGGGATATAGCCCCAGAACCTCCCAAATTAGTATCACCGGGGTGGGGAACAGACACATTTTATATTACCGTAAGTCTTAGTGCATTGTGTCTCTACTGAATATATTTTGTCTCTACCGTATTTAAGAATAATGAAACCTTATTGCAGACTAAAATGCAAAATGTGAAGGAAATTTTATATTTTCCAGTAAAGGATGCTTTTTATTTCACAGTATAATGACTTGATGAAGAAGAAAAGAATTGTAGAAAATGACAAATCAAAAATTCTTGCAACTATAGAAGACCTTGACCAGAAGAAAAACCAAGCTCTAAATATTGCTTGGCAAAAGGTATTTGTACCCCAAAATATTTTCCTTCATATGAGGCAAGTATGAAGAGTATCATTGGAAGAATTTGATATGGCTAATTGGTGTTCGAGTGAGGCTTGTGCTCTTACCTTAGTTAGGAATCACATAGACTTTTTAATGCCTTATTGGACTTAACTATTACTGGATTCACAAAGGTAAGTTTATGTCACTCCATCATTTACTAGAACTGTTAGTTTTAAAGACAATGAGGTTTCTTTCTTTTTTATGAGTCTGTTGACTTTTGTCTTTGGAAGAAACCTAAGGTACTATCCAATATGTACTATTCCCCACTCTGCCTCTGCTTGAAACTAGAAGCAATTTCATATGGTAGAAGCTCTAACTGTTGGGAACTAAAAACCCTCTTCCAGGGACTCATGCAGTTTTACCAATGTATGTTTTTAGCTCCTTGACCAAAAATCAGTTGGCTGCAGTTGTCAGCGTTCACTTATGAATTTTCCATTCTATTCCATTGGTTTGTGTTCACATTCTATTCCGTTGGTTTGTGTTCCTGTTTAAGTCAGTACCATGCTGTTTTGGTTATTTTGAAGTCAAGTATCGTAGAGCCTTGAGCTTGAGTTTTTGCTTAGTATTGCTTTTGTTATTTAGGGTCTTTTGAATTTCCATTTAAGTTTTAGGACTGTTTTTCTATTTCTGTAAAGAATGTCATTGGTATTTTTGATAAGAAGCACATTGTATGTATAGATCACATGGAGTAGTTGGGTATTTTAACAATCCATGATCACCGGAAGTCTTCCAATTTTGGGGAAGTCACTTCAGTTTCTTTTATCAGTGTGTTGTAATTTTCACTCAGAGGATTATTTACTTTCTTGGTTAAAGTTATTACTAGATTCTTTTCTTTTTTGTGGCTATTGTAAATAGGATTGCTTTCAAATCTTTTTGTGCAATTATGTTACTGTTTGTTTTTTGCTTTGTTTTTGGTGGTACAGTGGTTTGAACTCAGAACCTCATACTTGCTAGGCAGATGCCCTACCTACCACTTGAGCCATGCCCACAGTCCTACATTATTGTTGTATTAAAAATATCCTGATTTTTGTTTTCTATATCTTACTAAATTTGTTTATTAATTCTAAAAGCTCTTGGGTTCAGTTTTCAAGGGATTTTTATTGTTGTTTTATTTTGGTTTTGTGACAGGATCTCATTGTGTAGCCCAGTCTGTCCTTGAAATTGCAATCCTCCTGGCTCAGACTCCTAAGTGCTGTGATTACAGTCATGTATCACTGCTCCTGACTTAGGTTTTTGTATATATAAAATCATATCATCTACAGGTAGGGAGTTTGACCTCTCTTTTCCTATCTGGATGCCTTTATTTCTTTCTCTTGCCTTACTGCTCTAGCTAATACTTCCAATATTGTATTAAATAAAGAATGGTGAGAGTGGACATCCTTATCTTATTTGTGATGGCAGAGGAAACACTTTTACCTTTCCCCCATTCAATATGGTGTTGGTTGTGGATTTGTCATATATTACCTTTATCATGTTAAGGTATTTTCCTTCAGTACCTAATTTTTGAGGGTTTTTATCATGAAGGAATGTTTATCAAATGCTTTTTCTCTGTCTGTTGTAACCATTTTGGTGTATGGTATATTATGCTTATTGATGTGTGCCTTCAATTTGTTAGTATTTTGTTGAGAACTTTTTTCACCTGTGTTCTTCATGGATATTGGTCTATAGTTCTTTTTTTGCTGTTTTCTTACCTGGTTTTGTTATCAGGTAATACTAGCCTTGTAGAATGAGTTTGGAATGTTCCCTCCTTTTCTGTTTTTGGAGCAGTTTAAGAAGAATTACTGAAAGTTCTTTAAAGGTCCTGCAAAATTCAGGAGTGAAACCATCCGTTCCTGGGCTTCTCTTACTGGGAGACTTCTTCCTACCATGTTAATACTGTCACTTGTTACTGGTCTGCTTAGGTTTTCTGTGTCCTCATGGTTCAATTTTGGTAGGTTATAGGTGGCTAGAGATTTAGCTGTTACTTTCAAAGTTATTGGTAAGTAAAGATGCACTCCTTTTAATGTTTTTTGTTTTATATATCCTCTTTTATTCCTCTCTTATTATCTCTGTGGTGTGTTGGTTTTCTGTATTAATAGGATTTGATTTTCTTCTCTTATTTGTGTAGAGGAGTTTTGAACTTTTTTCAATATTGTGCCTTTTTATTTATTTATTTATTTACCTTTTTGGTGATACTGGGTTTTGAATTCAGGGTTCCCACTTGCAAAGCAGACACTCTACCACTGGAGCCATACCTCCAGTCCTTGAACTTTTTTCAAAACTGTTGATTTTTGAACTTTGTATGTTTTCATGATTGACTTAACGTCCTGTCATGCCTAAGGTAGAAAGAATTCCCTTAAGCATTTCTTGTAGTACCAGTCTGATGATGAATTCTTTCAGTTTTTGTTTATCTTGGAAAGTCCTTATTTCTTTTTCATTTCTGAAGGATAGCTTTATTGGCCATATAGTATTCTTGGTTGTAATTTTTTTTCTTCTATCAAGAATTTAAGAGTATTTCATCCCATTCTCTCCTGGCCCATAAAGTTTCTGTAGAGAAGTCTGCTGTTAGTATAATGGGGATTCCAGTATATGTGACTTGATGGTTTTCTCTTGCTGTTTTTAGAAAACTTTTGAGATTTGATTATAGATGCCTCAGAGAGGACCTTTTATAATCTAATCTTGGTAGTTCTTTGAGTTTTCTGGATTTGAATGTCCATATCTTTCCCATTATTTGCAATGTTTTCAGCAATTATTTTGTTGAATAGATTTTATATGCCTATTTTCATTTTGGGATATCCATAATGTGAATGTTTACTCACTTAATAGTGTCACTTAAGTTTCATAAGCTTTCTTCATTCTTTTACTATTTTTCTCTGATTGGGTTATTTCAGAAGATCTGTCTTCAAGCTCAGAATTTCTTCTGCTTGATCTATGTTGTTGATGCTCTCAACTATTTTCTTAATTTTTATTTATTGTGTTCTTCACCTGCAAGATTTCTATTTGGCTTGTTTTTATGATTTTTGTATCTTTGCTGAGTTTCTCATTCATGTAATAAATTATCTTTCTAGTTTGATTGTAGTTTTTCTATTTGTATTCTTTTATATCTCACTGGATTTTCTTAAAATCATTTTTAATTTTTCATCAGGCCATTTATTGATATTCTTTGGGGGCTATTAGTTAGAGAATTATTGTATTCCATTGGAGGCATCTTGTTTCTTTGTTTTTTCATGCTTGTATCTCTATATTACTATTTGTGTATTCTGGTGAATCATTTGCCTTTACCAGTTTTATTGGGTGGATTTCATAGTAAAAGACTTTCTCCTAATGATGCATCCTAGAGTGACAGTAGAGTTGACTGGGTTGGCTTTGGTTCCAGGTGGGTGCTATAGTGTTTGTATAGCTTCTTCAGATATATTCAGTATCAGCAATGTCTACAAGTGTTTCAGTGGCCTAGGCTGCAGACATTGTGAGATTGCACTGACAGTTTGCATGCAGCTCATTTAAGCAGGGCAGGTCTGTTGGTGACTGGGTACATTGTGCCCTACATGGGTGTGGGCTATCTATCAGTTTCCATGGTGGTTCACATAGGGGTGGGGCTGCTCTCATGGGCCCTTATAGACAAGGCACAGGTGACAGCAGTAGAGTTATGGCACCTGTCAGTTTGTGAGGGTATATATGGGATGGGACCACTGATGGACCCAGGTTGTGTGGCACAGTACCCAATAGCAGGCAGGGTGCTTTTCCGTGTCTGAGGGCCACATGAAGACAGGGCCCCTGGTAGCTAACCTGTATAGGGCAAATTGTCCAGGTTCTTCCTGGAATTAAAGTAGTTGGTCAGAAAACCTGGCTTGTATAGGTAGCTTCCTGTCAGCTTCATAGGACCCTGAGTGGACAGTATCTCAAGATGGAGCTGTACAGCAGTAGCCTAAGTGGGAATTACACAATATAGCCTGGCCTCTTTCTGTAGATCAGTTCAGTAGTATGGTAACCTTTCAGCTCTCCAAACTGAGCTTTGAAATTCTCTAGGAGTAAATGCTTCAGGTGTCCATGGTGTGAGCCTCCTGTTTACTCTCTTCCTTCCAAAAGACCCTTTCGGTTCAGAATTGATCTCAAGACAGGGCAGAAGATGCTGTGTGTATAGTCTCCTTCTTTATACAGCTTCTCTGTCATGAGGCTTGTACTTGCCAGACACTGTTCTACCACTTGAGCCACACCCCATCCTCAGACCTTTTTTGTTTCGTTATTTTTCAAATATGGTCTTGTTTTTTTGCCCAGAACTGGCCTCTAACTGCCATTCTCCTAACTAAGCCTCCTGCATTGCTGAAATTGCAAATGTAACCCACCATGCCGAGATGCCCAGCTTTTTGATTGAGATGGGGGTTCTCCTTAACTTTTTGCCCAGGCTAGCCTTGTAGCATGATCTTCCCAATCTCCAATCTCTGTTTCCCAAGTAACTGGGATTACCCATGTGTACCACCTTGCCCAGCTTTAACCTTTCAAGTAGTTGCACTGCTAATTTTTTTATACACACACATATATCTTAAAATAATTCTGTGACTATGAGAGATACTCCTATTTTATAATTGAGGAAAACAAAGCTTGGAAGGAAGTCTGCCTTACAGCATGTAACCTAAAGGTAGAAAACCTGGGATTTTGTTTTGCTAGATAGAACCAAAGTTGAAATTGACTGTTGTTGCTAATTGTTGTCATGCTCATATCTCTTTAAGAAGTGGACAGTAAGCAAGTTTAGTAGTCTCTTTTATAATGCTTTTAATTCAACAAGAATGCTAATTGCCATTTTTGTTTGTTTTACAGTAACTTTAGCAGGATTTCAAGCTTCTTTACTGTTATTTCTATTTCCCTTGTGTCATCTGTCTCCATTAGAATAGTTCCTTATCCTTTCATGTGGAAATTTTCCCATTTCATCACAGTAGAAGACTTAACTAAAAAGATTCCGAAGATAATTACTGTGCTGTTTGATACTTTAGCAAACCTGTGCCTTCAGTGATTCATTTGGACACCTGCCCTCTTTTTCTCTAATCTGTAGGAATTTTACTTTTAATAATGGGAGCACAATTATTCTTTCACTTCGTTTTCTCAACTTCAAGACTTATTTTCAGTGTTGCTTGTCCTTGTAGTATTTGTCTATTAAAAAAAAAAAGCATGCAGAGATGTGATGCAATTATTCTTATGCAACATGTAGAATTAATACTGGATGTAAGAGGATTTGTTTCCATCAGAATCTATTCTTTAAACTGATTGTGCTCTTCCCCAATTCCCAAGATTCTTCCAAAGCAAGTGACATATATCAAGTGCCTATTATGCCAGTCACTATTCACAAGTTTGTTTTCTTAAGCTTCTGATAATCTAACCAGGTAGATACTGTCATTCAGCATTATTTGGTATTGTTTTGCCTTCTTAGTCTATTGACTTTACAAAATTCTATTATATTTCATCTTTGTATCAGTATCTTAACATCTCTGTATAAATGTATATGTATATATATATAATACATGCATATATGCATACACACATGGAGAGGTATATATATAACTATATTCTTTCTCAGAAACTGACGTCCATTGGTTCCCTTTTGGAAGGAATTATAAGTAGAGTCCATAGTTGTGTTGAGGGTTTAGTAGCATTTTTCTTAGTTCTAAGCTGCCTCTACCCCATCTGCCCAAAATTATAAAGTACAACAACCTTTGGTATTTATAAATCCTGTGCTGCCTTCTATCCATTCCCAGCAGACAGTAGTCCTTTTACTATTTTGTGAGGAGCTCTGCCTGGTTCTAGAAATCTGTCCCAGGTAAAACTAGAGTTGGATACTTCCTGCTTTCCCTGTGTCATTATTCATCAGGTGAGCATTTGCTCTTAAAATGTAAATTCCTGTAGTTAGGTCTTTATTCACTGCTTGTGTCCAGATTTCCTAAGTGTGTTTTGTGTACCTGTACTTGAGTTTGAAGATTGCTCTAGAGAACATGACTGTCAAGACCTGGAGACTGCGTGTGTTTTGGAGAAGGAAGGAATGTAGTATGGGTTTGTATGTGTGTATACTCTCAAATTTGCTGCTGAACTCTCTATGATTATATGTTGTTGTGTCAGATGACCAAACTTTGAAATCATTGATCAACTGTGTATACACAAAAATTTACCCTATTACAAAGTAGAATTTTGGCCCAGTGTTTGTGTGCATTCTTGAGACTATGGCAAGATACAGGCAGGACAAACAGCTTCTTCAACCTTTTTCTCTGGGAATCAGTGCTATTCCTGACCATCAACACCTTACCTTCTTTGGCAATAAGACATAGGAAAGAACCCTTTAATACCTTGAACAGGTCTTCCCTTTGAATTTATGCCTCCTTTTCTTCTGGATCTCATTTTGATTGCTTAAGCATGTATCTGATGACCCATGGTGTCCCATTTGTCAACAGAAAAAAAAGTTTTCTAGAAGAATATTTTATACCAAAAAGAGATGCTTCCTTTGGTTTGGTTCTCTATTTTTTGTTCTCCTATGTGGTATAATCACATATGTGTTGAGGATTCCTACAGTAAATTCTATAAAAGTAACAAAATTTGAGTAGAGGTAGAAGTACAGCCTCCAGTTCCACATGGAAATTAGACCAGGACTCAGTAAACAAGTTCTTTATAAAACCAGATAATAAATATTTCTGGCTTTGTGAGTCATCCAGTCTTGATTATAGCATCAGTAGTCATTGATAATTTATAAATAAATGGACATGGCCATATTTGTTATATGGGTTATAATTTATCAGTCCCTAAATTAAAGTAACAGACAACACAGTGGACTTTGCTGCATTGCATGTACATATAACAATCGATTGTTCTTTTAATGTGATTTTTTTATCCAGGTGAACAAAGACTTTGGCTCCATTTTTTCTACTCTTTTGCCTGGAGCCAATGCTATGCTTGCACCACCAGAAGGGCAAACTGTTTTGGATGGTCTGGAATTCAGGGTTGCCTTAGGAAATACCTGGAAAGAAAACCTAACTGAGCTTAGTGGTGGTCAGAGGTAAGTAATCCCTTTACAGTATTATAATGCCTCATTGATCTTATTTCATTATAATCCATCATTTCATTACTTTACAATTCTGTTTCAGTTTTGATTTGCTTAGTTACTATTGCAAGTAGATTTTAGGAGCCTAATATATAGATCTAAGACTTTTGGTTGGAAATTTGATTAAACTAGGGAACAATAAAGAAGTAAAAATAAGTGATTAGAAAACTAGACAAAATATTTTCAAACATTGGAAAATGAGTAAGCCCTTTAGGACTATGATACCTACAAGAAGAATCAGAAGTGCTATCCCCTTGTGTTTATCCCAACTTTGTCCCTAAGTGATAATTTCTGAACATCAGAATCAGGTAGAGGAGTCCAACTAGAACTCAGTAGTTTCATGAAGTTAAGGAGATGTGGTTTAGAATTTTGAAAGACCATGGAGGGCTATACCTTAGAATTAGGTCCATATTGTCCTTTTAGTGAATTTACTTTAGATAGACCCTAGGCCTTAAAGAGGTCATGTTGATCTACACATTATTTAATTGCTTATCAGAACAAAAGTATTCTTTAAAGAAAAAAACAAAATTGAGATCCTAAACAATATAATAATCACAGTGTCTAACATCTAATGCACATCCTAAGACAAGAAAATAAGTTGCTTTCAGAGAAAACTCAGTCAGCAGTGAAACCGACAAAGAAATGATGAAACTAAGAGATGAGGAAATTAAGATTAACTTTTTAAAAAACTATGAGAAATACATAAATAAGAGGAATAGGGAAGACAAAACAGTACTTGAAGAAATAATGTCCCCAAGTTTTTCAGATTTGATGAATTCTGTACCTCAGACTTCAGTTCTGTAATCTCCTGGCAGGATGCACACACATCCATACTCATAATAACATAACAAGGACACGCACATAAATGGCTGAAAACCCATAATTAGGAGAAAAATTTTAAAAGCAGCCAGTAGTAAGATACTTACTTTTGCCGTGGGATAAAGATAAGAACTAGTTTGTACTTGTTAAAACTATTCATGCCAGATGTGAAGAACATTTATAAAGGGCTGAAAGAAAAACATGTCAAACCTAGATTTTACATCTAACAGAAACATTTTTTATATTGAAGGTAAATAGGCTGAAAGAACTTGACCCAACAGAATTATGCTAGTGGTTAAGGGGTATTCTCAGGCAAAAGAAAAGTGATACCAGATGGAACTTTGTATCTGAAGAAAGGAATGAAGAGTGGTAGGAAAAGTAAGAATGTAGGGTTCTGGGAGCCTTACACAGTAAATCAGAAAATTAGCATATTGATAGAAATTTCAAAGGTGATGTGGCCTAACTCCTTTGCCTGCAGACAGGTAAATAATTAAAACCTCCTGAGGGAAAATGGTGATTATTCACGTAATTGAAATTGGTTATTAATTAAATATTTGTTTTTCCTCCTGCAGAGCATACAATTCATAGTCCTTGGGTTGTTTTCATGTGTTCTATAATATCATGATGTAACTCCTTGTATTAGAAAAGACTGAGACCTTTAATTTTCTTTCTGAACTCCTTTGTCATTTTTATGGGTAGAAATAAATTTCTGCTGATGTTTTTCATGATAGATAAAATCTCTAAACATTTAAAGATTCTTAGGCTGGAGGCATGGCTCAAGCAGTAGAGTGCCTTCTTTGCAAGTGTGAAGCCCTGAGTTCAAACCCCATATCCAAACAAACAAACAAAAAAGTCTAAAGCATGGCTCTAGTTGTCTGTTGTACACTTTAGGTCTCAATATCGTCAACTATTTTGCCAAAGGCCTAGAAAATGTTTTGAGGAAAACAGTAAATGAACGCCTCTCTTTTTATTGGGATCCACAAATTATTTTCATAGTTAAGTAGATAATACCACAATCTTATCATAACAGTTTAACTCAATCTTTCTGTGAGATTTATTCTTGACAGTGAAGTTTAAAGTTCCATGCCTTGGCACAAAGAAAACCAATGAAAAATAATTTTACTTAAATAAGCTCAGCTTCTTTCTATAGTGGTATATATCAGTCTCAGTATTCCTTGTTTTTTATTCTACTATCATTCCTTTCCTTTGCTAGAAATCTTGGTTTCCCCTACACTTGTGCACTCACTTCTACCTCCCTCAACTTAACATTTTAAAATTAAAACTGTATTGGAATTCATTAAACATTTGAAGTTGTAGGATGTTAAAAATAATTACTATAGTTTTTTTCTTAATACTAGATAATTATAAATGTTTTATATTAAAATGAATGAGACTTTAATAGGATCTGTAAATATTATAAAAATCTTTGATTCTTCATACTAGACTAGAAATGTAGTTAAAGATGATGGTGAGCTACAAGACAACTAAAAATAGAGCTATGGAACTGGGAATAGGTATAACTACAAATTTTAGGTAAGGATTCTTTGAACTTCTGATATACTGCAGTACTTGGAGTAATGGATCAGAATCTATGTAAGTTACCTGCAAATGGAGACAGTAGAAATATATGAAATACCTGTTTATTAGTAAATATATACATGTATATATGTGACACATATTCAACATATGCAGTATGTATGTGTGTTTGTTCATGTGGTGCATACATAATAAAAGAGTTTAAAAGAGTGTACCTAAATAAACCACTATACTGTTACCAAAACTGTAGCTGTTGTCCTAACAAATATATAGCCCTCACTGAACTCTAAATAACCTACCTTTTGGAACTCCAAATAAACAATTGGGATAGGGAAAAAGAAATCAGGACCAGTGCCAAACATGAGAATGTTAAAATTGTCTTATGAGAACAGTATGCTTAAAGGGAAGGTTGAAATCTAAGCTGCTTTTTTATATAGCTGTCTTTCATATGAATCCGTACCTAAAATAATAAGGTTGCAAATTTACTTCCATGTTTTGGTAAAAATGATAAAATATTTATTGCTTTTCTTCCAACCAACCTCTTCTTAGGTCTTTAGTAGCTTTGTCGTTAATATTGTCCATGCTCCTCTTCAAACCTGCTCCAATTTACATCTTGGATGAGGTAGATGCAGCCTTGGATCTTTCTCATACCCAGAATATTGGACAGATGCTGCGTACTCACTTCACACATTCTCAGGTAAGAACTAGAATAAAAGATGCCTCACTAGTAGTTTAAGTAGAGTAATTTGCTTTTCTAAAACTATTCATTAGTAGTAGTGTTTGTATGACGTTTAGAATTGAGGTGGGAATGTAGTTCATTGGTAGAAGTCTTGCCAAGCATGTACACGGCCTGGTTTCAATGCCCAGTGTGTGTAGATAGATAGATAGACAGATAGATAGATAGATAGATGTACACGGCCTGGTTTCAATGCCCAGTGTATGTAGATAGATAGATAGATGATAGATAGATAGATAGATAGATAGATAGATAGATAGATAGATAGATAATTTTAGCATTGATTGAAGAATACTAAAGCATTTTATACCTATTTATACAGATTTATTTTCAATTGTCATAGAATCCAAAACAAAGGTTCAATCTCCCTTTAAAGAGATAGCTGGACCTTAAATCTGTTGGTTGTAGCATGAAGGAGAATCCAATTTAGAAGTGACTTAGTGTTAATGTAATTGTTTTCTCTAACTAGCTGCTATAAGGATGCACAATCAAAGCAAAGCTGTTTCAGGGATATATTTGAGGTTTCAGAAAATCATGTGGCATTCAATGGGGAACTTTCATTATTCCTGGCTAAAAGGTAGATAAAAGCCCCTTGAAGCTAAAGTTAGTTTGTTTTTATTGTACTATTGCTGTAGGAACTGTAGCTGCCAAATATGGTTGTCTAAATTATGCGTTGTACAGCTCTGGAAGCTCCACATATGATAGTATCATAGACTGTAGATTTAGTTCGGCAGTTTGTTAGCATGGGAAACCATTAAAGTGGTTCTGGTTGGGCTAGGGGTAATGCTGTTGGAACTGGTAGTCTTCTTTCATTTTACTTAAAATATCACAAAGAAAAGGCAGTTAGAACTAGCAACAAAATACTGTAGGCCAACTACAAAAGACAGAAATAAGTAGTCAACCACCAGGAAATAGTACACATGGGTGATGAGGCACTCAAGGTAAAATGAAGAGACTTCTAAAACCAAATATGGAAAGCTAGCATTCATTTTGGTGCCTAATGTTACTTGGTGTTTGAGGCTGTGCATATCCTTGGAGTTAGGTATTTAAAGAAATAAGAAAAGATAGTTCTTAACCCCAGTAATAAAAGAATTGAACTTCAGTAATATTGCAAAAAGTGTTTTATGGTTTGGTTTGGTTTTTCATTTTTCCTTAAGTTCATTGTGGTGTCCCTAAAAGAAGGCATGTTCAACAATGCAAACGTTCTTTTCAAAACCAAGTTTGTGGATGGTGTTTCTACAGTGGCCAGATTTACTCAAAGTCAAAATGGAAGGATTCCAAAGGAAACAAAATCCAAGGCAAAAGGACCCAAGTGAGCACATAGCGGAAATTTAAAGTACAGACTCACTCCTTCACCTCAAACTGTTTTTAGACACAATCTTTCAAGAACTTGAAACCTAATTTCTTTATATAACAATCTTAATATTATTTTGTTACTTAACTCATATGTTCTTTTCCTTTGTATTATCACTTGTAAATGAGTATAGGTTTCTCTATCTTAATTAATGTAACTGTGATCCAGTTAACGTGGTTGTGATTTTATGTATGTCAAATTTTTTTTACATAAGTTTTTTTATATATTACAGAGCCTGGGATACCTGGTTGGTGGTAAATTCTGTATGTAAAAGCAAAAATACGAAGAGACATTAAATTATACAATAGGTATAGCTGACAGTCAGCTTTTAATTAGTTTAATATTTGGCAGTATTAATGAGTTTTCTGTTGCTAATAAAATCATTTAGGTAAGGAAAAATTATAAACCAAGTAGCTGGACCAACAAGGGAACACAAAATAATGCAATTATGTGTGCACTGAGTGATTTGAGGCTAGTGCCCTAAGGATACAACACCAAAGCCTGAGATAGAAGACAGATCTTAAGAAAATTTTTCATTTTAATGATGTTGGAGTATCATGTTTCTAGATGTATAGTAATTGGCCTCTGCAAACTTGATTTGTTTTGGGGTGTGTGGTTTTGGTTTTTGGTTTTTTGTCTTTTTGAGCTTTGATTGTATTAATAGAAGCTTGGGAAAAAGTGTGTTAACATGGTGCTTTCTATATAGGTTATTTGTAGTCCTTTAATATTTCTAAAGATTTTTGTCAGCCTTTTCATATTCTAATCCATAACTTATTGGTAAATGCAAATATAGGACTCAGACTAAATCAAATTTGTCTTTTTCTTGAGTCTGATAAAACATATAAATAAACAGATGCCTCTGTTCTACCAAAATATCTCCAAAGCTTGATTGTTATAATTCTTAATGCCTTCTTTCTAGTTCAAAGGGATGAAATTCCTTTAGAACTCAAAGATGGAGCTATCAAACACCATAAGAATACTTACTATCTCCAGTTCTTATTATCTCTAAGTACATTACCAGAACAGTGACTCCACACTCCACCCTCTGAAGCCAAAAAGCTCTGATGTGATCTGATATGGTCTTGCATGTGCTATTTTGGTCTCATACCCCTTCCTGATATTTAGTCTTAGTTCCTTGGTGTTATTATAATCCTTTCCCTGATACATGCTCATACTTCCTGATCCTGGGGTTGACATTTTCATTCTTTATTTGCTGAGATGTTGCATAGCACCCAAGTAATTGATATTATGTAACAAATTGGAAAAGATTTAATCTGGAATTGGTTCTGTATATTGTGGGAGGGAAGGAAGACAAAGTTGTAAACGCTGAGTTACAGAAAGTCTGATATTATAGATAACATACCTACAAATTTTTTGTTTCCTTTCAAAAGTATTATAAATTGTTTGACAAAACATTTGTATCTGCTCACACTATCACCAATACAGTATTGCAATTTGACCACAAGCTAATTATTATTGGCTATTAATTTTAATATTTTTATAAATTATAAAATTGGACTTAATTTTTGTTGTGTTTTTTGTTTGTTTGTTTAGTGATACTGGGGTTTAAACTTTGGGCTTGCTAGGCAGGTACTCTACCAATTCAGCCACACTTCCAACCCTGAGCTAAATTGTTGTTTCAGCCAACATTTTAAAAAATAACTTCTGGGGTTGAATATTTTGCCATATGTACTAATTTTCTTGCTATCAATTTTCTGCTTGTGTGCTAGCCTGATTTTTATCTTATATGTAATTTTGGTCTTTAATGAAAATTCTCAAATAGTTAATATGTTTTTGTGAGTAATGTTATTATTCTTTGATTAGAGGGAAGGTGTTAAGGGAAATGGGAACATTCATTTAACACATCTGCATGAAATAATAGGAGTTAACATTTATCAAGCTCTTTATATATTGCACTGTTCTTATTTGTGTTTCATTTTGTCTTTTTTTGTTGTTTGTGGTGCTGGGATTTGAGCTAGGGCCTTATAATTGCTAGGCAGGCACCCTACCACATGAGGCACACCCCTAGGCCTCTTTTGCTTTGTTTTGTTTTTTGTTTTTCAGCTAGGTTCTCACTTTTTCCCAGGACTAGGCTGGGATGAAGATCCTCCTACCTACAGCCTCCTGTGTAGCTAGCATTACTGGCATGAGCCACTGTATCCAGCTCATTTGCATATATTTTCATATTTAGTCCTCCTAATTACCAAGTGACATAAGTACTGTTGTTAGCAGCATTATATAATTGAGGAATTTGAATTGCACAAAATAGTTAAGAAACATATGCACAGTAATAACACTTAGTGAGTGGCAGAGCCGGGCTACATCATGAGAGAAGTCTCCAAAACCAATGGATGTGTAGCCTCACTATTCACAATCTAAATTCTTGGCACCAGAATTGTTTCTGACTAAAAGTTTTTCAGATTTTAGAGTTTTTACGTAGATTGCACTGGTTTAGCATTAGGATTAGTATTTCTAATCTCCAAATCCAAGTGCTACAAAATCTGAAGTTTTTGAGCATCATGTCAGCACTCAGTTTCAGATCCAAGATGTGTGTATTGGGGATTCTCAACCTATACCACCTTGCTGGCAGCTTGAACATCATTTTCATTGTACAAAGTAAATGTAATGAACACCTTGTTGTGAACAATATGTAAAATGTGTCGATATTATGTTCAAGAACTTCAGACATTTGAAGAGAGGATTCCTTGTTGCTGTTTGGCATTTCAGATAAACTAACAGCAAATGTAGAACAAAGACTTGAAAATTCCTCCTCCAATAAAACTATAATAGAAAGCCTACTGTCTTTTTTTGAGTAGAGAACTAAAGGATGAAGTGTGGAATAAACACAGTTTACAGAAAGTGCAGGAGTGATCTGAAAAGGGAGAGCTAACACAGGGGGGGTCCTCAGATTAGGTAGCCTAATAATTGACTCCTAGACTAGATAAATAGAGACCATGACAAAGATACAACAAAGCTGCTATCTAGTATAAGATGAAAATGACATATTTTAATCAGTGATATGTAATGTGGAACACTTACAAGGATAAGAGTGTAACATGAGTTGAACTCAACTTCAATTTCTATAGAGATGACATAAGTATTTTTTAAAAGCAAGATTGAAGGGAACAGGGTAGGGGGACTCAATAGAGCATAAGAAGTAAAAAAAGTTTTTAAAAAGTGGGGAATGAGGTCCATATGAAAGCCAGTTGAGTTTGTTAACCATCTCTTATTTCCAAGCTAGGCTTTTAACCTTCTACCAAGACAGAGATACTGGGACTCTAGGTATTGGTTAGAACAAATAGTAAATTCTTTTGACAAACTTGAGTTATCTCAGGCAGGCATTTTTAAAGAGGGCTTTATCTGCTGTAGTGGTCCTATAGCCAGTCTTGATCAGAGATACTACAAAGATTAAAACAACTTTGATAATATATTTTGATCCAAATTCCTATTCCAAACTCATTTTCTACCATTGCTTTAGGCAATGGGGCATAAATTGTCCTTACTTTTTTTCTGTAGAGTGCTTGGTGGGTGAGGAGGGAACTGAGCTATATAGAGAATAGATGTGCTTAGAGTTTACAATATCTCAATGAAACACAGAAACCATTATTAAGCCAAGTGAATCTTTTGCAGAAGTGTGCCCCTCACTGTATGTATGAGATCTTGTAGGAATTGCTAACAGTATAGCTTAATCCTTCAAGGCAGATAGGTTCATTATTTATTGTTTTATATATATGGCCTCCCATGGTTTTAAACAAAATATAACAAAGATTAGTTAATATGGGTTTGTTGGGTGTAATAATAATGTAGTGTTCTGACAGTTATTTTTTTATATGAGAGAAGTGGGAGACACTAAAACAAAATGGGTTGTACAGACATCATTCAACAAGACAGTCTTCACAGCTGATGACAGGCAGTGGTGTTTCTTTAAAATGATGGTTTTCAAATTATGTTTCATGGGATTCTATAGATACATTGCAATAGAATTGAGCAGAGCCAAATGGTTTTGAGTTCCTGGCCCTGATTCTATCACAGATGTTCCACTGTTAATGGGTTACAGTTTGTAGAAAGGGTACATATAACCTTACATTTTTTTGAGTAAATTTAAAGTCAAAGCAGTACTTTAAAATAGGTAAGTATAGTATTTAGCCCTACTATGTGTCTGTCTCTCTTATCATAGAGTGCCAAAAAGGAAATAGAAATGAGAGGCTCAAGTGGTAGAACATCTGCCTAGCAAGTGTGAGGCCTGAGTTCAAACCCCAGTGCCACCAAAAATACAAAAAACAAAGAATGCATGGAGATTCTGTCTTCTCAGTTTAGAGTGTGATTCATGGTATCTTAAGGATCATCTTAACTAAAAACAAAAAAATAACCATGAAAGTTAACTCATTTTTTATTCATTCTGTGCCTGGGTAGGTTCTGTTAAGTGTCAGCTGTTATCTCTAACAGTGTTAGATGTTAGAAAAGGCACAGTCCTTGCCATGTTGATTGAGGTTTGGAGGGTACAGTAGTGGGTAGGTATTAGTAGGGAAGAGAGGGCAAACACATAATCAAGTACAGCAATCAAATTATCTGATACATGCCTGTTGAATGGATACATGAGTGAAACAGAGCTATTTCTCTGAAGAGACTATCTGAGAACTTGCTCTTGATTGATAGGTGAAAGAGTGATGATTTGTGATTATATTAAAGTTTACATTCTTCCATCATAGCATTGTTAAAGCTGTTCTAATTACTGGTTCATGCATCCTCTGAACAGAGGTGCTTACCATCCTACAAGAGCAAGAACACTAAGATAGAAACAGTGTCTTTGTCTTGAAGAAACTTAAAATCCAGTTCAGGAATTTATGATTTTTCAAATCTGGGTATGAGCATTTTGTTTCTTGTTTTCCGTATCTTAGTCCAGTTCTTAGTGTATAGAGTACTCAAGAAATATATATTAAATGCATGAATTCCATTTGTATCCCTGGAAAGTGACTTATTTGTACCTTTGACTCAGTTCAACTCATCAATATAAAGCTGTCATTGCAGCCTTTTTTATAA